CAGGGGCTCTTGCTAGCAGTATCAAGTGCACACCTGATGTACTGCAGTTTTTTTGCACTTCCACATTGGCTTATTTTTTCATCACCACTTAGGGTACACTGCCAGTTCTTCTTATTTGCTCTAACCAAGTAAATTGTTAACATTAAATGTTATAATTTAGTAAAGTAAATTTGCTTAAACAACTGTTTATTTTGGGGCGCAGCAGGTAAAGGATGGAAGACATGAGTTTTGGCAAAATAGGGGACACAGTTAAAAGCAAATTACACAAACCCTCTTGTTTTTGTTTTTTGGGGGTCATTAGAGTACGTATTTATTGTACAAATAAAGGGACATCATAAAAAGTAATGATAAAACAGGTTAGAAAAGTCAGAGCACTGGTACACTAAGGTAAACATCATAGTTAGGTTAAGTTGGCAAAAATGAGTAGGCCTGAGGTACAGCTGACTTTCACAGCGAAGTTTATTATTTTCTTAACACAACAAAACGTTTGACAATAAAGACAACATTGAAGCATAGACGATTCATACATACACTCTATGAGTCTTAGAAGTCCATTAAAGGTAGCTTGGGAAATGAGTGCTCAGTAGTGCTGTTCAGAGATGTTACCAGTGGGACTTGCTGCACGCAACACTGAGAGAACTGAAACCTCACCAGCCTCAGAGTTGAGAGCAAAAGTCTGGTTGAGAAAGAAGAATTTCTAACTGTGACCAACACAACAAATAAAATGTAGTTTGCACAATTAAACATATTTGTGGAACTTCATGATTATGTTGTTGTTTTTAAATGTCTGTAGAAACCAAGAGAAAGATGATTGAAGAATAAAGACCTGATTTACAATTTTCACTATTTTATGCTTTTACTCCAATATGTTGCAAAGGCAGAACTTATTTTTATATAAGTATCCACATAGAACCCTGCAAAATTGCAGCTGAATACTCTCAACTCCTTTTCATTCAAAAATAAAAGAAGGGAACAAGGCGCGCTAGAAGTCATGTTCTTGACGTCAGAGAGCCAAACAATATTTTTTCACACCTGCTACTGTCTGAGAAAGATTGCGCTAACTTTGACCTTTGACCTGTGCAGGGAGGCACATGCCAGTCTGGTTCAGATAATCTATGATCCAGACCACAATAATGAGGAAGAATCTTGTCAGGATGTGACCTATATGTCAGACTGGGACACCTGCTCACTTTATAAAGTGTTGCACATAATCGTTCCTTGCTATTTTGTCCACTTTCAGTGTACCTTTAAGGTCTTGTTTTAAAGCGTAGAGAGGTTCCTCCGCAGCTTCATCAATATTACACTGTATGTGCTCCGGAAAAGCATTCACATTACTTCAGAGGACACAAGTTGAAGTTCTGAAAGGTGAGTTTACTCATTCAAAACTAAACCTATTTCAATGTTTTTTTCTTTTTAAAGCAATGTGGTAAACAGGGGTTGTATTTTGGTAATGTGTTTACTAGGTGACCTGAGGATGACTATGCTCCTGTGGTGTTTTTTGGTCCTGTTTCTCTGTTCCAGCAGTTTCTCAGTTGTGGATAAAGCAAGACCAGCAAGGTATTTATAAAATCTCTCTCTGATTTATTGGATGCTGGCTGGCCAACCATTTATATCATCTAGTATAATTGAGTCATAAGAATACATTATAAATGTAATATAAATGAAAGCTTGATTAAATGTGCTTGTGTGTATACATTTACTGAAGCCTCTCATAAATGTTAGATGTCTGTTTTAAAATATGAACTTCAAATCTCAAATTAGGCCATGAATTCCAAAACCGTAACTAATCGACAATCCTTTCTCTCCTTTCTCTTAGGTGGCATTCAAACCAGATGCAAGGAAAAAACATAATCCGAAACCTCAAAAGGCATTCCGATGGGACATTCACCAGCGACTTCACCCATTATCTCGACAGGTTTAAAGCTAAAGATTTTGTGGAGTGGCTGGCCAAAACCAAACAAGAAGGGTGAGCTAATAAAGAACATTTATGTCTATTTTACTTCTATTGTGATAGTGTGAGAGGGTTGATTGTGAGAGGAGAACAAAAAATGTCTCTCCCAACAGATTGCAGAGAAATAAATAGAATTAAGGGAGCAACAACTATCCAAAGACAGCATATATTTGTCAAATATACAAACTTTTGCCAACATCTCTGTTGATATTAAATACATTTTAAAATAGTGCATATGTTATGCCAGTGCATTTGATTGCATCGATCTTTCTGTTATTTGACTTCCATCCCTAACATTTTATTCACAGATGTCGGGAAGACCTGGTCCAGATTGCGGCACATATTTAAAACAGCGAGGAGATAACCACATGTGATGTACCCAAGCCTCATGTCATCCAACCGCATTAAAAGAAGATGGATTTTTTCAATCCAAAAATATTTGTCAGTTGTTTATGGTGTTCTTAGGAGCTATGAGCAATTAACAAAGTGTTCAACTACAGTCCATCTGCAGTGTTACTGTTAATAATGATACCCACATCACAATGAGACTCCATGTTGGATCATTTCAATGTTTTACTTAGTTTTTCTCTACAATATGAGTAAAGCATGATAAGACATGGAAATTAACTTCAGATAACTAATAAAGACTGGAATATTTTCTGAATGCATTTTGAATTGAACTGTATACCACTGATGTTCTTATGCACGCAAATGTATTTTAGAATAAAATCTTTTAAAGTGGCAGTGCTTTTCTATTGGCATTGGGTACTACTGAAAGGCGGCTGCAATGATATTCAACGGAAATGAATAGAGAAGGCAGTATCTAGGGATCTGTTTACATAGAAAACATACACAAGGCTGTCCAGAGGAGGGTGCTGTTGTTCGGCAAATTGAAAGAGGGCAGCAAAACAGCTCAGGCTAAGCAAGGCTGATTTTGGAAACCATTTAAAAAGAAAAGGCAGTGTGTGGGTGTGAAGGCATCTGATTTGTTTTCTTTTTGCAGAGCTAACTATACATAGCATGCACTCTGTTCACACACATTTACATGTTGCACAATAAGGTTATGCAATGAGGCAGGCAGAATATACAATAATTAATGGACTTAACATCAAGTGGTGGAAGGGGTTGGTTTGAGGTAGGATGAGAAAAACTGTAGACTATAATTGGTGGTAGAGGTGTAGGTTTTCTGTGTATCAGTGTGTTGGGAATAGACCTGGGGTATCACGTGGCAACCTCATTTCTCATTGAGAAACTTTATGAGGGTGCAGCTGTGGTGATGGGGTGGGGATCAAACAGAAGGAAACCCCCTTTCACTGCTGGCTATTCACACTTACTGCCTGTGTGACATTTAGCAGCAGTCTGCAGCAAACGGAGACATAAAGAGATAACATGGGGCAGAAACGAGGAATATAATCCAAGCACTGTTAAGCCATGATGAGAGTCTTTGAAATTAAAGCTATGATGAAATGACTTTTCTTATATTCTGTCACTAAGTGCCTTATTAAGTCATATCCCGCCCTGATTGTCAAAAGACATGTCAAAGAAAATACTGTAACGCCTTAAATGATTATATTTAGACACGTTCAGGTCGACACACACAGAGAAACCACATGGTATGTGGTAACATATTTCAGAGGAAGGGGAGTAGGATGAGAGAAAGCGAGCACAGAGGAGGAGGAAGAGGAGGAGTGTAGGTGTGGCTGTTTCGAATTGGGTCGAGCTCCTCAGCACACTAAAGACATTCTGCTACATGCAAACCCAGCGCTGGGCTCTTTCCAACTGACCCCGCCTGAGAAGCCTCAGAGGCTGGCGGAGGATGTTCGTTCCTCCCGGTACCACCTCCAGCACCACGGACAGCTCCTCTGTCGAGCACGGAACAGCACCAGTGGCCCGTTCGGCTTTACCCTTGTGAAAAGTCGTTAACGAGCCTGATCGAGCCTGATTTCAGGGAGGAATTTCGATTTTCTTCTTCTTTCTTTCTTTTTAAAGCGTGGGAGCCGTTCTGTGTGCCTCCATCAGCCGCGAATGGAGGCACCAGGCCAAACTGGGAGTGTGCTGCTGACTCAGCCTCGACTGCTGCATTAATTTATCTGCACTGCAGTGCTCCACCACCTCCCTTCCCCATCTCTTTTCCTTATTCCACACCCCCTACCCCCACCCTCCATTGCACTGCACTCTCACACAACCATCCTGGAGCATGCCAGTGAAACGAGTTGGAGGGAGGGAGGGAGGAGGTCGATAGTCAATAAGATGCTGGTTTGCACTGCTTAAATGTGTAGATGATATTTCACTGACACATTGAGGCAGTGGAACTTAGAAATTACAAAATAAAAATAATATGGGAGAAGGAGAAAGAGCAAGGTAGGAAGGAGTTGCTGCAAGTCCATGCGACTTCAGGGAAGGAAAGGAGCCAGGGATACCACATTTTTCATTTATTCTGTGACAGTACTGTCTGAGGACAACCCCATGCATCATTTACATATTCAAGCTCCTGAAAACTAAATAGGGTTTCCTACCCTCCTTGCCCATCTGTAAAGCAATGAGAGAATCATACACAAATCAATATTCTCCCCACATTGCTGTTTTAGCTCTGTTCTCATGAGGTTATAGGGGTGGTGAATGTAATATCATACCTATGGGCTATTTACTTTATGGTGGACCACAAACAGGAGCATCCAAATGCAGATGGACTGCATAATAATGGGACTATAGTCCATCTTGTGCCTGCGAGGAGGATGTTAACACAGGGCTCTTAACAAATTCAATAAGTCCATTAGATTTGAAAGGCTGCCTTTCACAACCCTGTTACCACAACACCACTCAGCTCCATTTCACAGGATGTTTTGTGAATCCACACACAGCAAGACAAAAGTAAAATGATCCACGCAAAATGGTGACCACTTACTTAAAGTAGACACAAAGAATGTGGAATAAGCCTGGAGGAAGGGGAGGCTCTGCAGTCTCTAAGTCTCTTTCAAAACAGGAGAAACATCTCTAAAGTTAGCAAAAGTAAACATTTCATCACAAGAAAAAAAACACAATACACATGTTGTAACTGGAAGGCTGCTTTATTGGTAATAAAAAGGTTCGTGCTCAAATGAAGACAATCTTTCATATATTCTTACCAAAGTCCAAGTGGTTGTGCAACACACCATCATTATGTACTGTATATCCTCTTTTATCACGGTGTCAAATGATAACAACAGTTTGAAAAGCACTTTAAAATTTGTCAGCGAAAAAGAAAAAACGCCCATAATAAACCATGCTAAAAAAAAAAAAAAGAATGATTCCCATAATCAAATATTGATACAAAAATAAATTTCAGATGGAAACAGAAAGTATTGAAGAAATCAAACAGAAATATAGAAGGCAAGCTGCTTTTCACAAGCCAAGTGGGTGACACACATAGCACTAAGAACAGGACATTTTTGAGTTAGCTGTTTTTCTGTTAACATCACACACTGTTGAATATTACGATGAAGTGGGTTGTCTGGATGATCCTCTGGCAGTATTTCTGACTCATCATCCCTGATTAATATTGTGCTCACCCCCCGAAACCCCCACCCTCCACAGTTTGGAAACATATTTTTTGTTTCTTTTTTTTTTTTTTTTGTTGTTTTTTTTTTTTGCTCTTTTGTTGTTTTCAGTGTGGCATCAACATCCAAATTCGCAGAAAAAGCAGAAAAAAGGCACATGCCATTGAGTGGAACACTAGAAACCAACCATTCAACGTAAGAAATTGTGAGGACAAAAAGCCAGTACATGATTGTATGCAAGTTGAACTGTAATGGCACTGATGTGTGGGTATGGGAAAGAAAAGGCCCTGGGGTGGGTGCCATCTCAGGATGGGTGAGGAAGTCAGTCACACCAGCTGACGTCCTCGGGGAAGAGATCACTGGTACAGTAGGTGGGTAGTGAGGAGAGTCACCTATGTGTGTGTGTGTATTTGTGTCCGTGACTGTGGGTGTGTCCTGGATACTCAGTGAAGGTGACAGATATGACAGTTAGTGAGAAATGTGCTGGTAACATTATCCTTTCATAATCAGGCTACAATCCATGGCAAGCAGCTCCAGTAACATAGCACATGAGCTATTCCCCAACATAGAAGGATGTTGGAAACAACCAGTATTCAGACATCTACTGAACGTGTTGCACATAAATCAAATGTGACAGTGTTCTTCTGTTTTATGTATATACATATAGACATATATGTTTACATGTATATATCTTTTGTATTATATAATATCTATATTTCATTCATTTTCCGTCAACAAAGTGAAAAGTGTCTCAAAAAATCCAAAAGGTAACAAATGTGACAAAGGGCATAGCTGGAAGCCATTCTATATTATTATTATTCATTTTTTTGATTATTAGTAGTAACATTTTTAAAATTCCGTATTTACAAAAAAACACAACAAAGCATGCCGATAAAATAAAATATAATACACTATTTATAGTTTCTCTCAAAAAGTTTGTTCTTTTTCAGCGATTGTGCCATTTACATCATAGCCTGCACTGTACATATATCTGTTTTTGTGTTTTCTTTTTTGTCTTTTTTTTGCTTGTTTTTTTTTTCCAAGTGTAAATGTATCATTCTAAAACATTACATCCAAGATGAACATGGGTAAATTGAATGACATTACTCACTCCTGCTGTGGTTTTCATTGGGAATGTATTTGGTTTCAGTGTGCAGCAGCCAAACTGATTCGGAGACCTCATATTGTAAACAGACCTCAGTTATTGTTACAGACAGGGGGTTCTGGTACAGGCAGTGTTAAACACACCAAATGGCATTAGTGGTGTGAAGATGGATGCCAGATTGTTTGTCCAGTCATCCGCTTACAAATAGGACCATCACTCCTCTGTAGAAAAAAAATGGCAGGAGCACACAAAGAGGCAGTTGTGTCTTGTCTACCACTTGACAAAGCCTCAGTTTTTTATTATGAAAAACACCCACAAAGCTTATTATACAACATAGCTGCGTCAATGTGAGGCCTGCTGATGTTTAATCTGGTCAAGTGTTCACGTTTCTACCTCAATCTCTGGTTAATTATTTTTTGAAGCAGGTGGTAGTACTTGAAAGCCTGCAAGTATGTGAAAAGATGGTGCAAGGCTGGGTCCAACACCACACAGTGTTCAAGAGGTTTCCCACAAAAGCACAATGATACACTGACAAACATGGGACTTTCAGCACTCTGACTCAGACCAAAGCACTTCTCTCCTCTTCTGCTCTTCAATTTCTCTCTTGTTCTCATGGCAGTCAGTCTAAAACCCTGAAGGGAGGGGCTCTACTTATTTATTGGTCCACGTTTATATTGTGTTATTCATCAGCCATCCACCTCCCTGAAACATCAGACAAAATCCATTTCATTTATCAAGTTCCCAAAACTGCGAGCCCTTCATGTCCATTCCATACATGCGAGGCACGACAAGGCATGTCCTTGTGATAATTCTCTGCTAATTTTGCTGTCAGACGGTCAGTGTCAACTCTCACTGATCAAAGCCTTTTCTGAGAATGATTGCACCACAAGGACATCAGAGAAGGACTTCAAGGCTTTTTTCTAAAGCTGGCAACTCAAATTGTCCAAAAAAGCACTACCTAAGACATCATTCACTGGGTAATTCTGATGTTCGTCTGACAGAGTACAAAAGAGGAATTTGAAATGAATAAATTGATAAAAAAGCTGTCCAATGTTTCTACTTCTATGGAGTTTCAGTTCTTCCACTAGCCCAAAAATAACACAAATTGTGTAAAAAAAAAAAAAGAAAAAAGAATCTAAACTATAACCACATCTCTGACCCTTCTCCAGGTACTACAGCAGTAGAGGTGTTACCGTGTAATGCACAAGCACACCAGACTTTTCGGGTGCCGGATATGAATTCCTTGGCATGAACTATCACCTGCCCTCATTGCCATAACAGGGACCACAGGCAATTTAGAAAAATGACAATATGATGGATGTAAGTAAACAAAGTTATGAAAGCCCCAGATTTTGATCAGGACAACTGTTTTTTGTCCTCCAAATCTGTGCAACCTCAACATGAGGATAATCTGCTTAGTAACACTCAAACACTCCACACTCTCTTTACACTTCTAACATTCAGAGCAGCAAAAAACGATTTTTTTGTTTGTGTTGTTGGCTGACCCAGCTGAGACTTTGCCTCTGAGTGCTTACATCCTTCAACTGAAATCTCAATGAAGGGTTGACTGAAAAAAGTCTGTCAGTTAAAAAGCATAATTAGTGAAGGGCAGGATCATACTAATACGATTCACCCAATATTCAATGTATAACTATCTAAAATCTTCACTTATAGTTCCCGTACTTTCCCCAGTGGACAACCTCAAACTATAATCAAGCCACTGCAGTGGTCTGAGAATAAGTGTCTTGTGGACTATGATTACTCATGCATGATTCCTGATCAAAACATGCCTTCATGCAAGTCATTTCTATGCACTGAACGAGCACAATAATTGTTATTTATCTTGAACTCGGTCTGAGCGAGTCTCCTTCAGCCCAAGTCAAAACAATGACTAATGACCCCTACCCGGTCAGTGTGAAAGTCCATGTAGAAAACGTCTTTTTTCAATGTCAGTATAACAAAGAGGAGATGAAAAGACTAGTGACATGGGCTAAATGTTTTTTTTTTGCTGCTCAAATAATGTAAAGATGCAAGTACACTCAGCACAAACAAACAAAAAATATTTGTCTACTGTTCTTGTTTCCCCCCCTCCCTTGTTAGTGTTCCTTTCCTAGGTAAACTTGCTTGGTAGATTATTGTTTTCTTCTTGTTGAAGATGGTAAACGCAGAGTTACAGGCGCTCCTTTAGACTGCTTATACAGTTCTAGTGGGATCTGTACGATCCGGTCCGGCAGCATTGGAGCTTTGCTGCAGGGGTCCACGCAAGGTGGTGGCAGGGATTTTGCAATTCTCCAATCATCAGCAGAGATTCCTGTGCCTTGGAAGTTGGTCCCAAAAGAAATGTGTGTCATTTGCCATCACATTGTGAGTCATTGTTTTTTTTTGTGTGTGTTTTTTTTTTTTTTTGTTATTTGTTTTTCATTTCTAATAACTTGGTCACTATGCAGCAAACTTCCGTGGTAAACTGATTGTGTTTGGTTCAGCTCTCTTTGACGACATAAAAAAAACCACATTGCCTCAGTAGTGTTTGAGTCTGTAAACATTTTTTTTGTATGTTTTTGTTTTGTTTGTTTCATGATTCTTGCAAATGATCACTTTCTACATTTGTTGGGTTTGGGCTCAGAGTCTCATCTCACTGTTTCATTGGATTTTGAGTCACTGAATCCTAACACTTAGATTCCCACTCATCTTTTTGGTTTTTGTCCTTCTCTTTCCTGGCCCACTCTTCCTTGTTGTCGTCCTGCTTCTCCTTGTCGGGTTTGGTCACGCTGTCATAAGAGGGGAGAGAGGCAGTGGATGGTGTGCTCCCCTTCTTCTCTTGGTTGGTCCCTCCGTTCTCAAGCCTATTGTTAGCAAAGTGGCGCTTGAAGATGATGCCTCGCCTGATGAGGTGTGCACGGTAGGCATTCTGGATAGTTCTGGCAGAGACATCCTCCTGTTTGCGGCGGAGAGTGGTGGTGATGGGTTCATAAGACACCTTGGAGGGGTTGGCTGCCACAAAACGCTCCTCCATCTGTTGCCTCAGCATGTCCAACTCACCACTGTCACCCAGCACTCGCTTTGTGAAGGCAAACAGGATGTCGAGGCAGTGAATGCGATCACCACTCACCATGGGCAGGTCCATGGCAATTAGTTCTATAGTGTTGGGCTTTGGCACACGAAGTGGATGCTCCAGTGTGTCAGCAAAGTCCGACAGTTTGGCAAAAGTGATGAACTGAGAGGCTGTGGGGTCGAACTTCTCCCAGATCTCATAGAAGGTCTCGAAGTCATCCTCACTCAATGGATCAGCACTTTCCTCTGTGGCCACACTGAAGTTCTCCAGGATGATGGCAATGTACATGTTGACGACAATCAGGAAAGAAATGATGATGTACATGACAAAAAAGAAGATTCCTACTGATGGGTTGCCACAGTCGCCCTTCACAGTTGTACCAGGGTTCTCAAAATTAGGGTTGCAGTCAGGTGGGTAGTTGAGGATTGGCAGTAGCAAGCCATCCCATCCAGCTGACGTGGTGATCATGAACAGAATTATCATGCTGTTGCCAAAGGTCTCAAAGTTGTAGAGGTCGTCAATTCCCGCTCCATGTTTTACGTAGCCAAAGTTAGACATACCAAAGATGGAGAAGATAAACATGACCAGGAAGAGCAGTAAACCGATGTTGAACAAGGCAGGCAGTGACATCATCAGAGCAAATAGTAAAGTCCGTATGCCTTTAGCACCTTTGATCAGGCGGAGGATACGACCAATACGAGCCAGCCGGATGACCCTGAACAAGGTCGGTGACACAAAGTACTTTTCTATCAGGTCAGCCAGAAACATGCCTGAGAGAAAGTTAGAGGGGAAAGAAATAAGAAAAAAAGAGAACACAATCAGACAAAAGAGATTTCTAGAGGGGATATCTTCTCGAGTTACTCCATTTTTGCTCCATTTCCTCACCCTCCCTCACTCACCAACAATAGAAAGGATGACCACGACCACGTCAAAGATGTTCCAGCCATTGGTGAAGTAATAGTGGCGGAGGGCAAAGAGCTTCAGCAGGAACTCGGTGGTGAAGACTACAATGAAGATGAAGTTGACCCAGTAGAGGACGTTCTCCGTTTCATCCGACTGATCGTCTGTTTCCACCATCATGGTGACCATGTTGAGGCAGATGAGTATCATGATGGAGATGTCAAAGACTTGCTGCGTCACAAAGTCAAACACCATGCCCTGGACCTTGTTCTATGACGGGAGAAGACACAAGATTTACTGACGGTTCAATCAAAGGCACCATATATGTCGCATGATGTGAAATACATTGTGAAATAAAACCTACCTGTGGTCGAGGAATCGGTTTTTGTGGCTTTTTAGAGCCCAGTTTTTTCATGGCATTGTAATACTTTTTCTGTTCTTCTGTCATGAAGATATCCTGACCTCCAAAGTAAAGAGATGAACAGAGATTTGGTTACAATCATATTCTGACATTTGAAAATCAAAAACCCTTAAGCAAAATAGTAGATTGGAGGACTTATCTTTTTCTTTTGCTGGTTGAAGTTATCAATGATCACACCAATGAAGAGGTTCAGGGTGAAGAAGGAGCCGAATATGATGAATACAACAAAATAGATGTACATGTAGATGTTGACTTCATAGTCAGGCTGGTCTTCCACCTTGAAGGGAGGCACAATGTTAAAGTTCATGTTGGGTTTCATTAACAAAATAAAAGAGAACCATCTCTGTATAAACACATGGTTTCATTCTTGTACAGATTTAAGATAAAAGATGAATATCTTTTCTCTACAAATATTAGGCTTCCGTCAGCTGCAGATTAAATTAGCTTCATGCAAATGCAGGGAAAAAAGAGGAGGTAATAGATAACCAGGATCTGTTCAAAGCTAAAAAAATAAAAAAAAAGGAAAAAGTATTTCTATTAATTCCCTGTGTAGTTTCCTGCTCAAGACTTGTCTATTTGTACAGTACTAAATTAAAATTTTGTACGAGAAGTAAACCCTTGTCTAAAATCTATTGTGCAGTCATAATACTGAGTTAGCTGTTAGCTGGCTAATATACAAGCTCTTCTTCTCCTAAATGTCAAACATTTCCTTCCAGACCTGCTTGTTCACAGGCTGACAAAGATTAAGATAAATGAGCATGACAAAATATATTGAACAAGTGATGCACGTACATTTCTTGAATCCACAGCAGCATACATAATGTCCATCCAGCCTTTGAATGTGGCCTTTCAAAAAGAGAAAGATGACTTAATACATTTGCAGTAGTCCAAAACGAATCATATACAGCGTATACTCCAAACTGAAATCATTGAAAATCAAACCGAAAGTGATGCATATCCTGTGGTAGAGCTTGTGCATGGAAAGAAACAAGTAGATGGAGAAAGTAAAGGGAGGAATAACAAATACACACAAGGAACATGAACAATAGAAAGAGTCAGAGTACACTGAAAGCAAGAGGAGTTTTAGAGCGACAACAGACCCTCAGGTGAAGCACAGAAATAAAAATAAATTGAAAAGTCCATTGAAAAATGAGAAAACAAACCAAGTTAGCATGAATCACATGGAGTCAGAAAAAGTAGAGTAGGAGCGACACTCTCACCACTTGCAACAGGGCCAGGTAACCAGCGCCCACATTGTCAAAGTTGATCTTGACATTCTTCCACCTGACCTCCGTATAGTTTTGTTGCATGAGGGCCACGCACTGGGTCTTGTTGTTGACTTCTTCGACGGGAAAGTATTCCTCTGAAGTCTCATTGAAACAGTAGTAGTACTTTCCCGCAAACAAGTTGACCCCCATGATACTGAAAATCAGCCAAAAGATGAGGCAAACCAGCAACACATTCATAATGGAAGGGATGGCACCCACCAAGGCGTTGACTACCACCTAGACCAGACCGGGAAAGAGAGGACATGACAGAGTAAGAACCAGGAGATAGAAACAGCTCATTTATCCAACTTCATCCCTCTAATACGACACTGCATACTGGTATGGCTTTACACGTATTACTTCAAAAGCTATTTAGCCTATTGTTAGAGGTGGTGTTAAGAGGAGCAATTTAATCCTATTATGATTGAATGTAGGTGAAAATTAGCACTGCTCACCACTGTGATATAGATACTGAAGTGTATGAATAGGAAGGAGAGCTGTATCGGTCTAATTAGAGCAGCACTGATATGACTCTGAAATGCTCTTTGATCTTTGGAAGCGTGCAGCTAGAGCCGCTTAAGTGCCTGCACACACACATTCACACACACATTCACTAAACCTCTGTGGTAAACAGTATCTAAGTGGCACACATCAGTAAAGATTTGCTGACAGCTGCTATAAATCCTATAGGAAATAACCCTACTCAGTTCTGCTTACAATCACTGTGAGTTACTTAAGCAACTGAACTCTTAACATTTAATTTGATCCAATGTTTTAAAGGTTGCATAGACCATAGACTGTATAAAAGATAGACACCAGAATACCTCGTCTCAAGTAAAGCCAAAGGTTTAGAGCTCCCTCTGTTAACTGGCAGCAGAATAGGTCATAAACCCTGCCTCCTCTACTTTAACAGATAAGTGAACTATGAAAATCAAAGTTTCGTCATGATAGTAATTATCATGCCATTGTGAGCCCAAGTCATCTTTTTTGATTCATTATTTGACGCTATAAAGGGTTATAAAATGACATGATTAACAGCTGTGTTGATGAATATGGCCCCTGCGGCACTGTGGTCACCTTATTAGCAGAAAAAGGCCTCCTGAAACCTTTAAATCTATTGACATTGCAAAAAGCTGATGTTTTTGTTGTTATTAATAATACCAGTTAACATTATATTTCAGTTATTAGTTAACAGAGTAACTGTCTTTGTTGACGGATTAATGGTTAAGGCAGTTCATCTTTGTCTTACTGTGCCCACCTCTGCAAATTTGCAATAACCTTTCAAGGGTAACCTTGGCATCATTCTGTTAAATGGGAGGGGCTGGAGGCACACTGTCCATTTGTATATGCTGTCTATGTGACAGATGCAAAGATACACACAAACAGAAACTACAGACTCAGGCATGTGCACACAGATGCAGACTCCCAGTGGTTTTAAAAATGCCCTTGTTCATATTCTATCTAAGCTAGTTGCGGGGGAGTTTGAGAAAGACATGAAAACTAGAGTTGATACTACTTGGGTAAAGTAGATGTTGATATGATTCTAGATGTTTGCAAGCTAAAAAGATAGGTAAAAAACATATCTGAAAAAAGTGTTTGCCATACCACTATGAAGTGCCCATTCTTACCACCCCAACCTTAGACAGCCAATATTCTAAACTTATCCTTTTCCATATCAAAGTCAAATATTAACTATATAGCAGTAAAATATATATATTTTAAAGTTTAATTATTCCCACAACCACCCAAACATCTAGGCCTATCTAGCAATCCAATCTGATTTCTTGTGGTTTAATCATGGCCAGTATAAGCTCAGCACATAGTGATCTGCTCACTACAAGTGTTATGCAGGCCGACCAGCAGCTCTCAGGCAGACAGCTGAGCATGCACTTTTTTGGCAGACTGGTTTTATGGAGCCATATTCCCTCCTCATTACAAACAAACAGGGAGGAGCAGCAGAGCAGGATTCTCTCAGCGTGTGCACAGCATTTACAGGCTGACTTGAGTTGAATGCAAAATCCTAAATTCATCATGTGATGTACAGAGGGCAAATAATTTAAATATTGTGTCAAATAAAAAATGCTTTAAATGCTAATTTTTCAAAGCTTATAGACCTTCAAAATGTAAACACTGAGAGTTGTTATTCTCCTCGATCGTGTTAGCATTGCACTCACTGAGAGAATGACTCTTTGCTCAATCTGAGATACACTTGCACTGTTTCTAAAATTCAGTATTAAAAAAAATTAGGCCATGCTGTGTGGAAAGCATTCTCAGTAAGAGGGAAAATGGCTTTCAAAAATGCAAAATGTGCATCGGCAGTTAAAAGTACATGCGTGTTACATGATATTGTGCAATCTCAAGAATCGCTTGAATCCATAAATAAATAAAGAGGGATGTGTGGATAGAGAGGTAGCAGCTATAGAGGTAATGGTGGAAGCTTTGCTATCTTGTGCGTCAAATGAGCAATTAGCAAAATTACACTGTCAGTGTACCGACACTGACAACTCTTTACAACACAATATGGCAGAGATGGGAGACCAATGCTCATAATCTTTAACAACCTCCTCTGCTCACAGTGATTAGAGTTAAGAGTCATATGTAACCCCTAATATGTTTAATCATTATGATTTGATCATCTTTGGTTTAACCTAAACTTTACTTCAGGATTTACTGAAACCGAGGTACAGATGTGTAGAGATGTTATCATTCCTGTACAATGCAAGTAGGAACAAGATCACAAAGCAGCAGTAAGAGAAAGAGAGAGCTAAATACTGAGTCGGAGCAGCTTGTAATCATTGCATGTTAAGCAGTGCAATGCGTTCAATTAAGCTATGCTACTTGCCTCGGAGATGCATTAGGCTGTCAACACTCAACCAGCAGCTATAACAGCTATGAAAGTTCTTATCATTCTTACTCTCCAGAATCTCTTTCCTACGCTGTCATCTCTCCATTTATGTACTTCCCTATTCATTTATTTATTGCTTTGACCTCAAATTGTTCTGTTTTCAGTTCAAACATAGATGATAACCCAATCAATGAACATAGACATTATAATATCTCGATACAGCAGGACCAAAGTCCCCTGTTTGTTTCTGTTTGCATTACTGGGCCATACATCATTTCACTTACCACATACACCCAGTGAATGAGCTTATTCATATGGGAATTGGCATATTACAACTAATAAAGTCTAAGTGCCTGAATCTCAAACCCCAAAAATGACATTATCTTAACAACAGGCCTATTTCCCATCCCTTAGTTTACAATTAGACCTTAAATATTAATCACATAAATGACAACATCCATAAATCCTATCCAGAGCCTCAAAGTATTGATGTCTGCTCATGAGCAACTGCATCACTTTAAAGACTCTGGATATCTAGTATGAATGAGACCGCATTTAATTCACTATCAGTCCACCCAATACATAATTACACAGACATGCTTCTCCTGCCGGTCTGTCATTTTTGGGACAAACTTAAAAGGGATGATACATTGTCTGTCTTGGGTTGAGAGTAGTGTCCCAATGCTTATAGTCTAATACCCAACTAGACCCAGAACTCCAAATCTGAGTTTAACTGGGCCCATTGTTGCCTCCCAATTTCACTTCCTGTGGGAATGGAAGGCAACAGGAAGCCATAGCTTGCTGTATACACTGTAGTATGCGTTGCCATGACATGACAGCAGTAAAGCCCTGTGTGAAATGGCAGCCTAACATATTTGCTTAGCTTCTGCCTGGATTGCCAAAGGGAGGCACTAAAATGACTGCAGGTATTAATAATCTGGATAATGTTTAATTTAGAGAAATAGCCTGCCACCAGAGAGGACTGTAAGCAGATCATTCGGTCAGATTGTACGACCCAAAGTGCTGACACTGGCAGAAGCTTAACAAATGTTTGTTTTTTTTCCTCCCAAAGCCACAACACTTAAAGTGTGTGGTTTCTTTCACAGTCCCTGATGCAGATAGATCCTGGACAAGCAGGGGAGAGTGTGGTCACCCTCCAGTGGTCTGGCCCAGCCAAACCATGGCCAAGGTGGAGTGAGTAGTGGAGGGATAAGGGGGTGTGGAAGAAGAGGAGGTTGGGGTGGGTGCTGCACAGTGCTGCACATGTGGGGATTAGGAGAAGGTGAGACAGGGGCTATGGTGAAGAGGAGAACTCAAACTAGAAGACAAGTCAAAAGAGGAGAGAGTGGTAAAGGAGAATGAGATCAAGAGAAATAGAAGGACAAAGAAATGGGGGGTCTACAAGTGACAACAACCAGGTGCAACCAATCGCTTGAACCAGTCAAAGAGAGACAACCAATCAGATCTATGTATATCTAAGAAAGCGGCAGCAACCAAAGCAACCAGAGGTACTGCTGCAGACTTTCTGCTCTGTAAACCAGCTTACTCAGATTCCTCTGAGTAGTTGTTTGGCAGCCGCTTGCAGGCAGAGGTTTGGTGTGACTGGTTTGGCAGAGGTTGTCCTGCAGCTCCCCGGTTCCTGCTGGTTGTTCTCAATGCACTATGGTTTGGTGTGAGTGAGGGAGGGGAGGAAAGGGGTTGGGGTAATGGGAGAACAGGAGTGTGTGGAGGGGGAGGGGAAGGGGGGCTCTTAATTAGAAGCAGTGGTTGAGAATCAGGCCAAATGAAGGACTAGTTGTTGATTTGAATGCTCTATGAGATGGCATGTAAGTCTTGGTTAGCTTTGACCAATTTCACATTCACTTTGGCCAATCAAGAAGAAAGAAGGTATGATGATGTAATCAGAATTTATAGTTTGTTACTTATGTGATGAGGCAGCTTTGTGAAAAAAAACATATTTCTGTTGCTCTTTGAGTATTTCTTATAAAGCAAAATATCAAATTGTTTTTTTGTTGTTTTTTTTTGTTTTTCAATTGAAATGCATGTTGTTCGCTGGCTATAACTTTACTGTTAATTGACTCAGTCTCCCAGCTGCATCATGACTTCTTCAGCTCTAACAAAGGCATGGTAGAGGATTGCGCATGAAAAGGTGACTTCTTGGCTTAATATTTCCTGGTTTTAAAAACAATCCCCAAATACTTTGGAGTTTTTTGTCCTCTTAAAGTTTGTTTTTGGATCAGTTCTAGCATGCTTTAAACTGTTGAATGGGCATGCGGAAGGATCAGCTGCTTAGCTTTGGATCTTACCCTCATCCCTTCAAAACGTGACAAGGCTCTGAGGGGTCTCAAGGCCCTTAGTGTCCTGAGTGATTTAATGGGCCCTAGATCGGAGTAGCCCAGCGCATTAGCTACAAGGCTGACTATAGACACCTACACAAAAACAGAGAAGCAAAAGAGGTTCCAAACTGTTAGAAGTGAGAATATTCACTAGGAAGAGAAACGGCCCTGGCATAGGCGGAGAGTTTCTTGACATACACACATAAATCTTTGCATGTATATGCATGTATAATATTGCATTTATACATGCATATACACTGAGAGAGAAGGTCAGTATTTAGTATAGGATTTATGTGCGTTGTATTTTAAGTTACAGTAGGCCAGAGGGATTGTTTGTCTGTTATTTTGGGGAGGTTGACGAGATGTGAAAAGTCCTTTGTACCTGCAAAGAAATTTGTGGTTGAGAGAGAAAGAGAGGAGATATTGACATAAGACTCATTTAGAGGGTAAATTAGGCAGAAAAGAATGCTACATGATTTAGTAGAGACACAAGCATAGGGACTGAGCAGAGCAGAGGAAGAGGAGTTGGGAAGGGAGGAAGGGAAAAGGTTACCCTGTGGAGGCTGATAAAAAACCCAACAGACTTGAGAGCCTTACCCTTGCCCCTCTAACATTGTCTCTCCATGTCGTTCTTGGGCTGAGGCATAAAATCCCATATAATTTAAGACAGACAAACTAATGGAACCTAAGAGAAAGAATACAAGTAAACATGTACATGTGTGTCATTTTGAAATTTTCTTTCTCAGACATCAAAATAAAACAGCATTACGACTCAAAGAGGAGAGCCACAGTCACATGAACCACGCACAAGAAACAGGGATGGAGGTTAAAGGCAGACCGGATAAAGTTATTAGCACTGGATGGCACTGAAAGGACAAAATACACAGTACAGTCAAGTTACACACAGTTAACGGTCAACTTCAACCGCACACAACCTCAAAGAAACTGGTGCAGCCCCTCTCACGTCTGACAGCAGCCACCATACTACTGCTGCAGCCAAAGAATGCTTTATAGCTCATTATCTCACAAAACTGTTGAAAGAATACTACAGCAACATTAAACATGTACCAAACACTAATATGAAAACTTCAGCAGAGTGGCCTGACTTACAGTTTTGTATTCTGTATGTGAATTCCCTTAGCCAGCTGAACACATGTACATTACCAAAGGAGGAAATGGAAGACGGTTAGTGTGGTCTGTAAGCTGCACTAAAGTCCTTTGAGAGGTGATGTAAAGTATAGGAATAACTTGGCCCTGATAAAGTCACTTCATTTGTGCTTAGACAAGCTGCTGCACTTTGAAGCGCTTTAAAAAAGGATTCTTTGGCTGAATGCAGATTATCCCAATGCAGTGTGCATTAGGGGGCAGCTGGAATAAAATCAGGGTCATATTCAGTCAAAATTTAAAGATAAGTTTGTTCAAAAATATGTGCACGATCACAGGAACTAAATCGTCAGGAAGGATTTTTTTTTGTTCTATTTCCATTCTTCCTGGTCTCGATGCTGGCAAGGACTAAAGGAGGAGGAGAACCAGTTCCTTACAAAGAAGTAATAATATCAACACATGTGAAAGCACCTCCAACCAGCCATCGACACCAACCGGTCAAACTCACCGCAAGAAGTTCACAACATCCAAAGCTTACCAAAGTCACGGAGGGAGGTTTATACCAGGCAAAATCTTCATTTTGACTGAGGCCATTAGCATCGTAGATGAAGAGAGACCAACCTTTTCAATCATTTAGTTGTAAAATGTATCAAAACTTCCGAAAGATAAGCAAAAAGGTCGCAAAATGGATTCAGCCTTCATTCTTATACATGTAAATATCCAACCATGTTCAAATATCAGGTCAGGGATAAGCTTGATAGGCCTTTAATGAAGCCTTTTATGACTTGCTCTTTTGGACAAAGCCCCTATTTAAACAACTATCCTGGCCTCTGAGCTGTACTGATGGGAAGCCAGTAAAATAAAGATTTTGCCTTGATCTACACTACAGTGTTTGGGGTATTTGTCACCTTCAGCCTGACCCCTTGGAGAGCCCCCTTTTTGGGGTGCCTGGCTTCTGGCCCCCCCACCCCGCTGGGCCAGCTGTGTGGTAGTGACCTCAGTGCTTCAACGTCCTTCTCACAGAGCTCTGCAAGGCAAGGCCAATGACATCTGGGGCTGTGATCCCATGATGACGACAGCACAAACAAAACAAAAATAATGCAAAATAAAAGCAAAGGGAAAAACAACAAAACAATGACAATAATCTGAGTGAAAAACAAAGATGAATGAAGTATGACACCTGAAAGTCTCACTAACACAGCTCAGCTGCACCATTAGAACAAATGTTCCCTATTGTTGCGGTCATGTCATTTTAAACTGCTGACACAAGTTGTAAGGTTCTAAGAAAATGTTTCAGATAGATTTCTTTACTCTCTGGTCAAGATACTGTCTTAACTGATTTGACCGAACATTTGCTCCCTGAGTTTACAATTTCATCGTCATATTTGAGCTAAGCAAAATAATCTTGTAATGAAAATCAGGAAGATAAAAATCAAATGGGTAACAGAAAAAGACAGTAACACAAGGGAAATGAGGAAGAACAAAATACATGCCGGTCTAATGATGGTGCCCCCCCTTTTCTGAGTCCGTTGTTTCACCCCACAACACAGGACGGCAGAGGCACAAAACACAACCCAGACTCATGAAGCATACATTTTTGGGGGGGTAGGGGGAGCGCTAGTGAAGACCAAACTTACCGTCAGCCGCCTGTCACCCACCATCATTACATCTCAGCACAATTTCACCACATTCCTGAGGTTACACTTTCAAGGGGGAATGAAAGGAGGATAGGGGAAGAGGGGAGGAAGGATGTTACTCTTTTTGTAACATTTTAACAACTTGGGCAACGTGATTTCCTGCACTGTCCCAAGTGTTGGGCGGGCTTGACAACAACACACCTAAAGGGAAAGAGTCTACCATGGCAGCCGGGCATATATTGAAAGTGAAAAAGCTCTGTGTGTTACGTAAGTGTGAATCTTACATGTGAAGTTTAAAAATAGCTGTGTGTTGAATCTTCAGGAGATTTTGTTTCAGTTTGACTGTAACATCTTAATTATAAAAATGTATATGGATAGCAATCCAGATTTGTAAAACTATGTTAGTGTTGTCTTGTAAATGTAATAGTAAATTTGTGTTTGCGGCAAAGGATCTGAGTAGTTTAAAGTGAATCAGCATGGGAACTTCTGGCCATGGATTGGAGTCCATTCACAGGTATTGGCTGAGGTGTTGGACACTGCGGAGGGGTTGTTAGTTCAAGGAGAAAGTCAGAAGTCAGGGAAATTATTGTTCTATCCTATCCAGCCATTGTGTACATTTTTTATTCCATTTTGCCACCCAATGTTGAATTACCTCCTTTAGGTCCCTCAGAGACATTTCAGTTGCCTGAAAATCTGAGGTTATGTTTGATACTACTAAAGGATAAATCTAATAATTTCCTCTGTTTCTGTCTTTCAATATTGACTGCCACAAGGAGCAGAAAAGTGCAGAGAGAGGACAAAGGCACATATCAAACATGGTATAGGTCAGAGACACAGGCAGAGACAACCCTACAGTGACACATCATCTACAAAACTCACTGAATATGGTTTTATCATTGACTTCTTCTGATTTTATTAGCTGTGTAAATTTAATAGGGTTTTTTTCTAGCTTTTTTTTCTTATAACATTTAAAATCAGCAGACCCCTGCCCCTAGAAGTCACACTGCAGGGAAATTGCTTGTGGCACACTAGAAAAAGTGCCTGAATTCACAAGCAGATATTTTTCTTCATATTCAAGCAACTCTGAGTGATAAACAAAGTTAAAAAAATAAAGAAATAAATTGCTGCTTGATGGAGCTGTAATAGGTGACACTGGCATGGGTTGAAATGGACAGACTGCTGCAGTCTTGTAAAACACTATCCTTATAGCATGAGCATTGGGGCTGTCGAACGAAAAACTTATTTTTAATCACAATTGAACGTTGTCAGTCAAGAGTTAATCGTAATTAATCACATTTTGAATAACATGTTTGAAATTCAATTATTTTGCATTACAAAAAATATGTTATATGCTTTTATTTTGTATTTTGAACTGTCTTAAGTTAAGGGTAATTTACTTCCTGTTTGGATACAAACCTGCTTTATTTTGAAAGAAAATAAAGAACTTCTGGTAGATGGGCAGACTACAACATTAACTAAGGAAACAGAACTTGTTATGGATCGAAAACTTCTCTGAAAACAGCTCAAGCGGATAGTGACGAGGTGAAATATTGATCGTAAAGAAGTGAATGTTTTTTTCTCCAACTTGTCATCTGAGCTCCCTTGTTGTTTTTTTAAGTGAAATGAGCCATTCAGATGTGCAGAGATGTTGTTCTTTTCCATCACTCTGACTACAGAGAGACACTGCTGTCTGTGCGGTCGCTTAATACGGTGCACCTAAAGGGACAAAACAGCACACAATCAATGCGATTAAAAAAACGATGCATTAATTTCTGACTTTAAACGTATTGCGATTAACGAGTTAACGCTGACAGCCCTAATTAGTATGCAAAATAAATAGGCTTCTTTTGTTTTTGCAAACCACATGCCATCTCACCTAATTAATGCCATGAAGCAGAAATGTAATTGGAAACCTGGCCTTTGACACCTAACCACACCCAGCAGACAACAAGAGGGGCAACAAAAATATCTCTTGTATCTATAAAGACTGCACCAAATATGGCTGTCAACAATCTAATCAGAAAAAGCAGCAGGATTTAGCATTAGCTCTATGGCCTAACAGCCTGCATACATTTTCTAGCAGTGTGTTGCTGTGGGATGGGTGTGGTTTAGGACCAATAACTGCCGTTTGCTCTAGTTGCTTTAATATCACACAGTAAATGAAACAAGAGCTGGACTTACATCCACAATGAAGAAGTCCAGCCAACACCAGGCATTGGTAAAATACTTGACAAAGCCGTAGGCAACCCATTTCAGCAACATCTCCAGAATGAAGATGTAGGTGAAAACCCTGTCAGCATACTCCAAAATGATCTTAATGGTTTTCCTCTGCTCGATGTACACGTCCTCAAACGCCTGCGGAGAGACATGAAACATATGTCAGCCAAGGCGATGATGTGAGGGATATAGTACTGCTTATGGTGTATGATTCCACTGATGACATTGTATACAGATCTACAGCCTGCACATTGTTGGTCCCTAACAGTGATTTACAAGATTTTAATACATTGTTAATATCTGAAATGACTCCACAGCTAATGTAGATCTGTAGTGGTCTTTTGCTTTTATTTTAGAAGCATTTTACATGCCTGAGAACAAGGCTCCACTCCATCCCCCAAAATAGATCCCCAGCTTGATAGATGGTTCAGTCCATTAATCACAGGTCCCTGGCTCCTCCCCCAACCCAGCAGCTCTACGGCTGAGAAACCAAACTGACTGCCCCACTGATCAAGCTGTCTCACCATTGCACCCACTGCTGACTTAAATGCTTTTATTCTTATTATGTGATCTTTTTTTTAGTCTTTGTTCTCAGGTATGAAAATGTGTATTTCACTTAGATCCTAATATGATTCATGGATTCATTTTTATGTAACTGTACTATTGTTCCTCAAATCCTTCTTACCAGGGCACCACTACTGAGGAGGATCATGAAGATGATGAGGGTCTCAAACCAGTTGTGCTCCACAATCAGGTAGCAAGTTTTCCTCAGGAACCACCAGAGCTTCCACCAGCCAAAAGTGATATCGACATCGCAGCACTTGTATTTAGCCACACATGCTGAGGAAATACAGGAGAAGATCTAATTAGAAAAGATCTTAATGGCGGATTACAGTAGACAGAAGGGATGGGTATTTATCAGTGCATTAGTTTATGCATTACATGTATAGATAACTTGACAGACAGACTGATAGAAAGGCAGATAAACAGATAGAGCCTCCATGTGTGAGAGATCCTTCTTAATGAAACTGTCCTTCAGCCTACAGCCCTATCACTTTCACTCAGCTCAAGGGAGTCTCTGTGCTGTGGGTGGATGTAATGGGTGCAGTGGTCTCACCATCTGTCCAACAGGCCTCTGGTTCCAAGTACTCTTCCACCGTCTCCACCACCACCACCTCCTCTACATCTGGCTTGATGTCAATGGTGCTGCCCTCGGACGAACTGGTGTCGTCCAGCTGTAGAGACGCAGATGTGTGAGCACACAAGCACACTAACATGGAAGCTTGAATTCACATGAGCACAGATGCAGACCGGAGGGGGACTATCAGTGATCGAGAAACTTCTGTTCTAGTCGCACAGCTGCGGTCATGAAGCCTCGCCAGGAACTGTGTATTTCACATTATTTTTAAAAGAAAGAACCTTCTGTGCTATTTGATCGCATTGTTTTTTTTTTCAATTTGAAATGGACAAGATAACAAGCCTGAACCTCACATATCATCCACATGAACACTGAAATGGAATCTCAAATTTCAGATCATCTGTTCTGAAAGTCTCCTAAATGGATTTTGTCAAGAGGCACACAGCAGCAGATATCCATTTCATCCACATTCACTGCATGAGCAGGCCACTCTAGATGTTGTAATCATGAGTTACAAGTTATAATAATGCTATGATAATGTCTTGACGGTGCAGAGAAGCCACACACATGATCTTTGCTGCGCTGAGAGAGGAAATTGCCCGATGAAGCGATACTGATGATTTAAAAAAACAAAACAACAATAGCATTCTGGAGAGCTGGACACATGCTGGAAAAATTAGTTTCCAAGTTGGATAATGCACGTGATCGCTGCTCAAGTCAGAATAATAACTTGGACACTACAAAATAATTTTGTGCACGACTTGCTAACATGACGTCATATTTGTCATCAACATGGCGGGCAAATATTTTTTTTTTATTGTAAAAATGAAAATATTATTTCACTTACTCGATATAATATGTAATATGGCATTACTATTATTTGTTGTCCACATGTAGTGACCTGGAATAGTTCTATATTAACATTCGTTTGGTTTTGAAGCCTTAATAACGAGTCAGGTACATAAACTAAAGTAATATTTCAGTATTAATAAGCATTTAACTCTGATTCAAAAGTCAGGTAACATTAATCCTGGCGTGATACTTTTGAAATGTAGCAACATTCTCTCTTCAAAGTGTCATTCCACACATCTTTTTTGTAGCACCCATGTTGTACATTGTTGTTGTTACAACATATCGACTTTCTGAATTGAAAGGGCAAGAAACACATTAAAGTGGGAAGAACTGGGAAATAAACTGTGTTAAATCGCTCTGTATGCATCTGATTCCTATTTCTCTAAAGTAATTTTGTTGTTGGATATGAACTTTGTAAAAGTGGATAAAACACAGTTACTGACCTCTTTGCTGTTCTCATTTTCTGACTCGCTGCTGAAGTCCTCAGTGTTGAGATTCTCAAAGTCAGACTCTCCCACTGCTATGGGCACGCAGACAGTCAGGTTGGGGTTGTGGATGAATGACATGTGCTCCTCGTCAATCATGTACTTGCCCACGCTGCTGCCAATACCACTGGTGGTACCATTACCATTCTTGGCATAGTCCAGGTCACGGTTGATGTCTACCCCGGTGTGGTTAGCAATGCAGTTCAGCTTCTTGTCATACATGTCGTCTAAAGGCTTCTGTTCATCCTCCACCAGTGGTTTTCTCAGCAGATTGGCAACCAGTATCCGCATCTTTGCTTTTATCCATGCTATGCCTATCTTGATGCGCATGACGGAAATCTGCAGGTTGTTAGGTTCACCATCGTCATCTGTAGCAGCCAAGTTGTCAGCACTGAATGAGCTCAGCAACAAGGCAAGGAACAGGTTCAACACCTTTCAAATAAAATAAACAAAATCATTGTTGAATGCTTCTCTTTTCATCTGACAATTTGTATTCCTGAAAGATGGCTTGGAGAGCAAACATGGTCATTTATATAGTACACTCACCACAAGGTTACCGATGACCATGACCATCATGAAGACGATGAGGCACATGCCCTGACCTGCCACCTCCATGCAGTCCCACATTGTCTCAATCCATTCACCGCACAGCACCCGGAAGACGATCAGGAAGGAGTGGAAGAAGTCGTTCATGTGCCAGCGGGGAAGCTCACAGTCGATAGCAATTTTACACACACAGTCTTTGTAGCTCTTGCCGAACAGCTGCATGCCCACCACAGCAAAGATGAAGACGATGATGGCCAACACCAGAGTCAGATTCCCCAAGGCTCCAACAGAGTTACCGATGATCTTGATCAGCATGTTGAGGGTAGGCCATGACTTCGCCAGCTTAAACACTCTCAGCTAAAATGGGATGGGGTGGGAAGAGCAGCAAGGGTATGATTTACTCACACAGCTACAAATAAAGATAAAAACAGTAATAGAATACAGGTATGCTTTCTGGAAGCATATATTATAAGTAAGGTCAAATTTGAGCTTCAAAATGTACATATTCTTAATTATAAGATGCTAATCCCACATGTTATCTCTTGGCTTTCATAAGGGAGGAGCTAAAATGACTATTTACCAATCGGAATGACCGCAGGACAGAGAGGCCTTCTACGTCAGCCAGAGCCAGCTCCACTAAACTCAGAGTAACAATGAAACCATCGAAACAGTTCCAGGCCTCTTGAAAGTAGTAGTACGGATCCATGGCAACCAGCTTAAAAAGCATCTCTCCTGCAAAGATCCCCGTGAACACCTGGCAGGTAGAAAAGAGAGTAGATTCATGAATAAATTGTTTGGGCTCTCGTGAAAATGTGACGAGCCTTAAATGGTGACATTTGTGACATTTGTTCTGTACTATTAAATAACTGGACTATGTATGTAGATAAATGATTAAGATGGATCGAACATAATATCAGATATCTCTAAAAGTAATAACACATTAATGCACTACCAGGTGGTTTATCAATTTCTCAAAATCTCTCAAAAAAGGACGCACATTTAGTTAGTGTTATTGTGTGTGTGTGTGTGTGTGTGTGTGTGTGTGTGTGTGTGTGTGTGTGTGTGTGTGTGTGTGTGTGTGTGTGTGTGTGTGTGTGTGTGTGTTAATCGATGTGTGTGTATGTGTTTAAGACAATGACTCATCCCGCATCAGGGTGACCTAGAAATTTCCACCTGTACCGTCCAGTGGCCGATTCTCTGACTTAATGCTAAGCAGAGGTGAAAATAAGACATTTCTGAGCTGACAAGATATGTCACTGTTTCTTTGAATACATATCTGGTTGAGGAAGGCTACAAAAAGATATGCTTTTTTGAATGTTACTCTGTTTTATTGACGATGCTTAAAATAAAAAATGACCAGGTTGAGTTAACCAATCTGTGATTCGGGCTCCATTTTGGAGCCGGTCATCGATCAGGCTCCATGAAATATTAAGGCAGGCCTCCCACCAGTCAGCCAACCAGCAGAGAGGCTGGCTGCTCCCACTGAAACAAACTGCAGATCCACTCAGGGAGAAGAGAAAAGGAGAGAGAAAGGACAAGACAGGGAACATATGTGTGTGTGTTCATGCTAAGAAAAGAGAAATGCGTGGAAATAAGGAATCAGCAGGGGGGCGTGAGTGCTTTTTTTTCCCTTTCAACTCTGGGGTTGGCTATGAAGGAGCTGCCAATTCAAGATCCAAAAATAACACCTCTTTAGAAGCTACAGAAGAAAAAGAAGAGATTATTAACAGGTGAATTAAAACGACAAAAAAAAGCCACTCACCAGATTGCCCACAGACAGCATGTGTTCAAAGTCCGGGGTCATAGGGTAGTGCTCCATCGCCATGAAGAGGGTGTTGAGGACAATACAGATGGTGATGGCTAAGTCCACGAAGGGGTCCATGACAATCAGGTTCACTATCTCCTTGATCTTAATCCAGTTGGGGGAGCACTCCCAGATCAGGAATGTGTTAGAAAACTTATACCAGCATGGTGGACACTTGCGCTGAGACTCCTCCAGTTCTGAAGACATATCGCGTATCAAACATCAAAACCAAATATAATGGCGTGCATGAGATTACCGCATGCAATGGTAAAAAATTATAGAAAAATTGTATGCATTGTATGTATCTGGTACTGTTGGATAATGCAAAGCAGATAAGCAGGAAATTCATGTCAAACTTATCAACCAATGAGAGCAGCCCTAGTTAAAGAATAATGAGAGCAGGTTAAATAGCTGGGTTAAAGTGGCAGTACCCTCCACTAGTGTGTTGGTAATGACGCTCATGACACTGTTGGCCCGCTCTTTCCGCCCAAAGGAGGTATTGAGCTGGTCCACAGACACCATCAGGGAGCCCGACAGCTTCTTCTTCACCTCAACCTCAGTAGTTGGCTGTCAGGGGGAGAGGAAGAATCAAGCACCCATGGAGAGGACATGAACACCATCCCACATCACCACCGATGGCCGGCAGAGGGAAGTGCACAACAGCATTGGCAGGAAAAAAGTAGTTGAGGATCAGATTTTTTTGGAAGGGGTAGGTCATGTTTAATTCTTTTCTATCTCAATGCTGGTTTCAAGGAAGATGTGTGTTTGCTGTAAATGCATGCAGGTCTCAGCCAAAGTGGGAGCGGTGGTCTAGGGCTACTTGACCTAATTGTGTTTGAACGTAATTAGCTCATCCAGATTAAACAATAAATGGATTGTGGGATTCTGTGCAAGGAGAACTGCTTTTGCATGAATGCATTTTCAGTCCTGTCATGCAGTAATGGAGGCTTTGCTGCCATTGCAATATAATCATTAGGTTGTTTTACAAAATGTCTCCCAAATCTGGCCATTTAAACGTTACTTTCAAATTAAGGCTACGGTATCTTCCTACTTTGAAACCATACAACTTATATTGCAACCATCAAGTCAAGAGCATTGTTAAAGATCATATGGAGGCAGGTAGTTCAGATCAGTCAAGTTGTCATGCATGAGCATGCTCCAAGTCAAAGAGAAGGAGAGGAAATTACAGACATAGCCATTGTTCTAGTCATCTATGTCATGCTTGTTCTAATTTAAGGGTTATTATCTACCATGCTAACTAGAATGAGACACAACTAATTCACTAATGTTGACCAGGGAGAGTTTAGAAAACAGGGAAATGTAAAGACAGACAAGGACAGCAGCCCTCCTTTATCCTTGAATTTCACTATTAAGTGCCTGATAGGATGGTGTGTGTTGCTTGTGTGTCAGCTTTGTGATATTAACAGTGTACTGTAATAGGAAAGCAGTTAAATGTCTGTGGCACTATAGTGCTGGTCCCCTCTGTTTCCTCCGCCTCCTACTGTAGATCTACCCACACAGACTAGCAGAGGACCTGGATGCCTGGAGGAGGAACACATCAACACACTGGAGCATGTTAACTCATCATTATATGCTATTTGATAACAAGACATGGTGTTTAACTTTTAGATGGTGTTAAAAAATAAACTCTATGACATCCCACACGTCAAGTTGTGTATTAACTATGAATCAAGCTTTGGTATATGTGCCAAAATCTTGATGGTATTATAGAATTATATCTGTTTTGTTTCTGGATGACGGTTTGAGCGTGGTGCATATATGAATAAATAGTTTGATATGAACATTCATAGCATTGACATTCATTGTTCAAATCAAAAAAACAACATTTCCTGGAAGTCACTGATAGACGCCCGATTTTCTAATCTGTCAAATACAGGGTTGGCTAAAGTTATATTCTCTATTCAATTATTTTTGTCTCCATCCTTTGCCTAGTGTTGGAGGGCAGCATACACTGCAGGGGTTGGGGGAGGGTAGGCGCGAGCGCTTAGCCAAGAGATACATACGGACTTGCAAAGATGACACAGTAGAGGATAGAGAGCAGGAAAGAAAAGGAAACGGACGAGAAGGGGGGCCATGCCTAGATAGGTCTACTCATAGACTTCCTTACACTGTCGTCAGTAGCTGCCTTATCTATTTTCACCTCAGGCAGAAGGCGTCCACCCGGCCCAGGACCGATGAGTGACACCACGCCGTTGCAATCCACCGTGCTGTTCCTCTTCCCATGAAAGCCGCTGTAGCTGTTCCTTCGATAAGGGCTGAACAGGGAGCCCCGTCGCTCCTCGCACTCCTCCACTGTGCTGTGTTCGTCGTCGGCAAATTCGTTCTCTGATCCCACATCCTTGTTACGGCCCTTGAAACTGAAGATGCTGCTCTTGCTGTTGTGGCGGGACAGGAAAGGCGAGCCGGGAATACTGAGGAGGGACTGGAGGGTAGGAGGTAGAAGAAATAGGTGTGATTTATGTGGGAGTTTTTGAATTACTACTGATTGCTCCATCATTTTTATGCTGTTTTGTCATCACTTCTGGAAGTCATGACACAGAAGTGAGGCAACATTTGTTGGGTGTGGCAACATTAATGCAACCAGGACATTATTCCCTGAGGGTGGAACTCTGCTGGAGCGATCATGTGACTTCATAAACAAGAGGGAAATACATAATTAGGTCAGTGATATCCTACACTGTCAAGGTCGCACACACAGGACAGAGATACACGACCATGAGTCACTACAACATTACTCCTGACTGCGTCTGGTATTGATCTGAGGTATGAACTGGAATCCCGATTTGTAAAATGAATCTCTACCCCATTCAAATAATTTACAGTACATGGCCTTCAGCAAAAACACTGCTAATGATTTGAAAGTGTTATATAATGACCGTGTGACAAATCTTATGGGGAAATTACAGGAGCCTTGTTTCTGCCATTGTGAAGGCATGGACACAGTTTCTTTAAAGCTTCTATGCTGTGGCGTACAGATATGCAGCTCACTCTCACACTGATGTAGAACTCAGAGAGTGTAGTGATATTTCCTTACATTGTTTTTTTGTGCATATTTCAACACCATGGACAGAGAGCAAAGGGGCTACAGAGCATCAGGCATTAAAAAATAAACCCATGCATTGAATCAGAGAATTGCAATGGGTGAGGTACAGTTTTTTTGTTTTTGTTGTTTTTGGGGGTAGTCAATGAAAGGGGACCTCTTTCTCTCCCTCTTTGCCGTCATGAGTGCTATTTGACACAGTAAAGAAGTCTTTCCTCAATGTCAATGATCAATACATTTGAGTAAGTGATACTTCCTGCAGAGTGACGTATCTCATGGTGATAAAATTAAATAAAATGTAACACAATTAAATTCAATTAAATAAGTCCTCACTGCAGCGGTGACGGAGTAAGGACTAAACAAAGCTGAAGGATTGCTTCCTCTGAAACATTCATGTAATTGCTGTAAATAATTCAGCATCTGGACTTTCTACATCTAAGACCACTATATGCGTCTCAGTATTTGAGCACATGCAACATCACAGAGTACAGTAGCAGCACATGTGTTCGAAAATACACGTCACCTGACAGTCTTAAAATAGTGTAGCAACGCTATTTACTGACTACAGAGAGACACAGAGCATCTCTTATTTCATTCTATAGCTCTGGTAACATGGTCATGTTATGATTGAAATCCCCCCCATCCTATTGTTTCACTTTTATCTGCTGAGGTTTGGTCTGTGAGATGTTTACCACCAGCCAGAGTTAAACAGGTGGTGCTAAAAGCATTTCAATTTTGCAGGAAAAAAGCAATATAAGCAGGGATTTCAGGAGAATTACATTAAATGGCCTCACATAACTTTGGATTTAAAGTTACATTAACACTGAGGAAAGGGTTAACTATGAGGGTGTTATTCTTATTTTCCGCACCTGGTTCATAATGGAAGACTTTCGACCCAGGCGATTATCAGGAAAACGGAAGCGGCTCCTCTTGCTGCCATCATCTGACTCGGATTTGACAAACTTCTCACTGTCGCCTTTCTCCTTCTCCTGCTCTTTCTGCCGCCATTTCTTCTTACGATTGCGCCGCTCTTTGGCACTCTTGGAGCTTAGCTTTGACATCTCGGATGAACTACACGACAGTCGCCCTCCTCCGTCGTCCTCCACTGCATCTTCTGACACTGTGCCCGCAGAGGTTGCCATGGCTGCAGCCTGCAAAGAAACATAGACAGTCAGAACTATGATACAAAATGAGTCAGGTGACATTTTTTGTTGTCCACCATCAGAAGGGCTGACCTGAGCGTCCTCCTGCTGTCTCTTAAGCTGGTCCAACATGGCCTTGAATTCCTCCTCCTTCCGCAGGGCCTCTTCCATGGTAGCCTGATTCTGCTCTTCGTAAGCCATGGCCACCACAGCCAGAATCAGATTCACCAAGTAGAAGGAACCCACAAAGATCACCAGCACAAAGAAGATCATGTAGGTCTTCCCTGCGGCCCTCAGCGTCTGTTGGGAGGCAGTGGATGGATGGAAGGAAGGATGGAGGGAACAGTAGAGGCACTTATGACATCTTATATGTAACCCAAACCTCCAGGTCATGGCCTGCATTGACCCTAGTGTTCATCCCTAACAATGACTTATCAGAAATGAACAGAGTCAGCTGTTGCTGGGGAAAAGATAACAGGCAGACTTCCCTGATCTAGCATTTCTGAGTGCAAAAATCAACTCATCGCAAATGTCTATGGCTTCCTCTGGAGAGTAGATTAATAGACACGAAAGGAGTAGAGCACAGTTACATTTTTACTGCTAATATGCTCAAATTAGTTTTACTTATATCAACCAATGATTTATTGACACCCATCCATCTGCAAAAGAAATCCAATACTCAATTAGGGCTGTGCAATCACAGTTTCATCATTATCACAAGAGGAGTTTACAACATTAACATATAACAAAAGTCTGAACTGAATGCAATGAATGTGAGAAAATATTTTTGTTAAAAAGCTATTCTTTCGCACTCAGCATGCATACATTTTATCTGTTGGATGGAGGACCGGGTAACATTTTCATGCAGTCAGGTGAAGCTCATTCTAGCTCTCAACGACCCTCAGATTAATCAGTGCCGGTTTAGTGATTAAAAAAAAAAACACAGCTTTTGGAATATATTTTGGATTCAGGATGTTCCGGTACATATTGCAAACCAAGGTATAGTGTTAAAAAAGATTTTAACTGTTGATTTAGGGGTAATATGCACTCTTTCATTTTTGTTTATATTGTTATAGTAACATTACAACATCACGTTTATCTCGTATCCTGCAGGCTTGTACCCTGATCACATTACGACTCTCTATTGCAGGTTGTGTTTTTCATAGGCACACTACAGCTGTCAGCTCACATCTAATTCTATGAAATGGGATGTTCGGTTGAGATGGAAAGTGAGGAGCCTGAGTTGCAGAGGACCAACAGAAATGAGTACATGTAGACAAAATGTACACTTAAATGCTATTTTAACTAACTAAGGTCTATTTTAGGCTTTGGTCATTATTAAATGTGAATTTCTATTGTTTGAGGTATAAAAGAGGTTCTTAGTGTAGGCTTCTAATAGGGACCGAACGTTGGTATTAAAATATTGTCACTCAGTTGCTTGATCCAGTTATAGCTATTGTCTTTAGGGAGCTGAGCAAAAACAGAAAGCTTCTTGTGAAAGAAAGAAAAAACCCCACACACATCAATAATGTATGTAGTTTACATGCAGTGCTGGAAAGTGTATATAACACTACGTTTCCAACAAGAGCACCAAGCACCAACTAAATAGAAATCCAACTCAATGTCTTTAAGTCTCACACAAGCAAATCTCAAGTGAGCAGGAAATAAAATACCTTTAGTGACAATCATATCAATTTCATTTAACTTCCTAAACATTGACTTAAAATAGTTACAGCACACATCATGAAGCCTGAAGTTGAGAGCTGAATTTCAAAGATAGGAACAAAAATAGAAGTATGAGCTGGAACGCTGCTATCACGTCTCATCTCCCTGATTGACCACGCTGTTATCCTGAGCTCTTTAATTTTTCATACTTCCTTCCTTTCACCTGGCCTCTTTATAGGGTGGCAGTATTTTCTCTACAGGCTTTGTGTGGAACAGGCTGACAGACATGACAACTTGGCCTGGCAACAGTATAGTGTGAATGCATTGTACAATAATTGTTGTCAGAAGAGAGCCTTTGTTGAAGCAAACTCAAAAATAACACATTTGTAACTCTGTTAGCAAAGGGACTGATCCTTCTCCACTGGAAGTCTCCTGATCACAAAAGCTGGACTCCTTGGCTAAAGGGATGGGGTGCAAATAAAATAAAAACTACGATTTTCAATACATGGCTCCTCTGATGATTTGAGAAAACATGGACACTCTTCATGGATTTAGCGCCCCAACCAGCATGATTACTGTTAGCTGTAACTCAACAAAAGAAGAACAACATGAGTCATCATAAATCTATCTATTTTAACCCATCAAACAAGAGTGACGTCTTGATTGATTCCTTATTTAATGCGACAGATTTTTTTTGTAATGTATCAGTTTATTGCTCATCTGTTTGTTTGTTTGTTTGTTTGAGTTACAGTTTTTTATACATATTTTATTTTTGTTATATGAAATTTACTAAATAAGGCTTGGTTTTGTTTCCATTGAAGAACTAATCTTGAAGTGATACAGTAAATAGTTTCAGGACCTCTATGCAGTTTTACTTTTTAAAGGCAGATGTATTTAAGTGATGTATACAAACTAAATTTGTTGATGCGTTAGCTTTACCAGCATGTAAAGGTTTTCCCAGAAGTCCTGTGTCATGAGTCGGAAGAGAGCAAGGAAGGCCCAGCCGAAGCTGTCAAAGCTGGTGTAGCCGTAGTTTGGATTCCTCCCAGCTTTCATGCATGTGTAGCCCTCCGGGCAGCGGCTGAGGGGTGGTACGAGAGAGAGAGAGAGACAGAGAGAGTTACAGAGAGACACAGGGCACCCAGCCAAACATGACTCAGCACCATTTCCTTTTAATACATCTGTCTTCAGACAGACAGCAGAGTTACAGCAGGTCAACAGAGAAGGTAGTTAAGGAACCTCACCCAGAGTCTGAGCTGTTCCCACAGAGAAGAGCATCCAGTTGGCCAGGGAGGAAGTAGAAATTGGCTAAAGAAGAAGAAACAATCAGCAGTAATGAGTCCATTTTGTTTACGTTCTTTCACTGCTAAATCTGCTTATTCTGCAGTGGTCTTTAAACCCGCTCAGACCGGTTCTGACTTCAGTTGTTCATTTTCAGCGCAGTTAATTTCAAAGCGATTCCCTTTATCTACCCAGTGCCAATATGGCATATTGTTAGATGCTTCCAGCATATGGACTGACTCATAGCCATAGGCTTCTGCCAGTTCACAGCAGGTGAAGCTGTGCCTCTACTCACTGTTGTTCATGATGTACTCGTCCCAGTCAAAGCCCTTGCTGCCGTTGGCCAGGTGGCTCTCGGTGATGTTGACTGGCCAGAACACACACTTGTGGCGCAGGTTGCCCATGAAGAGCTGAAGACCAATGAGGGCAAAGACGCTCAGGCAGAAGACTGTCAGGATCATCACATCCGAAAGCTTCTTCACAGACTGGATCAGGGCGCCCACAATGGTCTTCAGGCCTGGGGGTCAGCCACGCACACACGTACACAAACCACATGGGTGATACAGGAGATGCTGATGTCCAAGTTACAATGCTGTAATGTCTATCTTTGCTAGAAATCATTTTCTACTGCTGCAAATATGCAATTCCTTTTAAGGAATTCATAACTAAGAGACATCCAGTTTGGACTGACCTTAAGAATCTGGATGTAGTTTCATTTAATTGTAATGCCTACATACTGAATTTATCAATCTAAAGTGTATCATGTTTCCACTACATAGATGTCTATTAATGTAATAAGATTCTTAAATGTTAATGTGTTTGTTGTTATAACTATCTATGAATAAAACTTAAACTACAGCCATTTTTATAAAAATTGAAATATATGTTATACATTTTGAGAAACTGTACAAGAGATCTCTAAATACAAAACAACAGGAAATATTTAGGAGCCTTCCCACTCTTCTCAGATCCACCTGGATAGAAAATGTTGTAAAATATAAAATATATCTAATCAAATATCAAATGAAAAGTCCAATTTGCTTTTGACTGTGATACCTTTATTTATTTATTTTGCAGTTGCAAAGTAAGAAAGAGGGGGAAGGCTGCAGAAAAGTGAGAGGTAATCTATAAGGAATAGAGCACAGCAGCACAAATAGGGGCCATAAGAAGGACAAAGGCACAGGCAAGGGGACTGGAAACCACATGCAGGTCATTTAAACGCCAAGGCTGAACAGGAGCAATTCAATGCCAGTGCCAGCGTGGGCACTTTCTTGAACTGTCTTGTATAAGGAAAGCAATGACTCCCCATACGGTGACCCTACAGTCTGTCTCATCCACACCTTCGCTAAAGACACAATGGGTTTACCTTTCAGACAGGCATCCTCTGGGAGCGTTCACATAGGTCCACGAGGAACTCTATAATCGAAGCTGGATGACCCATAACCAACCCCCACCACCCCCCACCCCCCACACACACACAAACACACACACACACCTTTCTATTTGGTCTCTATGGCAGGCTTCACCAGTTGTACATGGTGTATCTTCTTATTAAACATATTCTAAATTTAGAAGTCACATTTGGACAGTCTTATGCTCTAATGCTCTAAAAATGCTCTATTAGCTAGGTAGAGTCAATTAGGAAACACAGAGGTATTATCAACAAAAACGTTTTTACAAGCCTGACACAATGCTTGTCATGGGTATTATTGAAATGTCAATTCTAAATAGTTAAACATTTTAAGAAACAAATTTGTTTTCAAAACAAAGCTTCACCCAGAAGCCAGTTAGCTTAGCTAAGAACAAAGACAGGAAACAAGGGGAAACAGTTGGCTTGGTCGTAAGGTATGAAATATAACACATTAAGCTCACTAACTATCTTTTTGTTCAACAACAAAAGTGGAAAAAAACAACAATCATACAGGACTGAAAAATGCACTTCTTTGAATTGCTACTTGAGGCTGAGCCCATGCGGGCCGGGCATATAAATGTATGTATTACACAATCATTTAAAAAAAAAAAACAACTATATAACTCAGCTGTTAGAAGTATGTCAGGTGAGTGAGTGACAGGTAGTGAAGGTATTTTTTATTTATAAAAGTATCTGACAAATTATATGGCTGCCTATTGAATCAGTGGTACCAACAGAAAGACGTGCTGCAGCTTTTTGGGTAGTTGAATTACAGATTTTATTTAAATGTTATTACTCATTAGATGTGACTGCACACACCATACCTTGCTTTTAGCTTAGATTGTCAACTACCTAGAAAAGTTAGCAAGTTAACTAGCCTGGGGAATGGTCTGTATAACTGTACAACTTTGTTAACTTAGCTTTTGCTAACCCTAGCTCATTTCAGTTCCACCATTTGGTCAAGTCTAATAACAGTACGGTCCTGACTGCTGATGAGTCAAACATAGGACTTAAAAAGGCAGTCACCAAACTATAGTTGATCACATGGTTGGTATTTTCTCTTTTTCTATTAAGTCAATGGATACTTCATGTTAACTGAACTTAAGAGGTTGTGGTAGGTGTATTTTTTTTAACCTTTGGAAAAAGTTAGGCAAGCTGTTTTTCCTTGTTTTCAGTCTTTGAGCTAAACCAAGAATTTCCATTTGCACTTAATAAACTCTTTGTCCCCAAACGAATGTGTAATTTAAAGAAGCCATCCACAGCATCTCTTTTGAGTGAGCACGACATCTGCTCTACATCCTCTATCAATAGATAGATAGATGTGGGGTCATTGTCACTCCAAAAGGTCAAGAGGTCATTCCACCATCCCATCTGTGTCCCAAACCTCTACAATGTGAGCACACCGTTTCTTTTACTGTGTTTTACCATATCATTCAAGTCAGTTGTAAAAAAAAAAAAAAAGAGAAAAAAATCAATAATCAAACTAAAAAAAAAAACAATAGAGAGCAAATCAAACTCTCAATGCCATTAGTCAGCCAAGCTCTCGGTAGGCTAATATTGTAAAAGCAAGTGACTGAAAAGCATCATGCAGCATAAGAGATATGTTCACAAACTAGGCTTGGCAGTCTTCATTTATTATTAACATGTGTTTTCTCTGGGATCTACTGTAGCTCAGAGCAAAGATATTCTGAATGGAACATTGACATACACTTGGTTTGTTTTTGACCCCAAAAACATGGAATCCTCTATTTCCAATTCAATCGCTAGTTATGACTGTGCAACTTAGTTATGATGTCTTAATTTCACTACCACTTTTCATTTTGGTCAAAGGACAAATAGCATCATTACACACCAATACCATGTATAATGATGTTTATTTTTTCCTTACACTGGGAATATTCTATCAATATTCTTTGCTAGTGAACAGGGCTTTGTTTATTCTGAAAGCTGGTGGGGAATGAGGGGGTTAAAGCTATTTCTAAAGAGCAACACAGCTGCCTTGGAAGTGAGTCTCTTAATAAGATTGCTACTGGGGCAGAAGAGAGTGCAGACACTTTGGAGGGCCCTGGAGGAGACTGCAAAGCCTATCAAAAATGTATTAGTACCATTTTTGATAATTTTGGAGGGAAAAAAAATCAAAAAATGGTTGTCTCCAATTTTTTTAGTTGTTGCTTAAATCATAATCGTCATCATAATAATAGTGAGTAGAAAAGAAAGGGTGAGAGGATCAGCCTTAGTGTTTAAACTGAGTCTCACCTGGAATGACAGAGATAGTTTTCAATGCTCGGAGAACTCTGAATGTTCTCAGCGCAGATACATTGCCCAGGTCCACAAACTCTGTTATATATCTGAAATAGGGGAAGGATCACACACAGAACAAACACGATGACAATAACCACACACGCCAAGAGCACAACACCACCGAACCAGGAGGAATACGACGCCACTCACAGAGCCTGTCCACTGAGGAGAAGGGTGGAAGGTAAAAGGAAAGAAAGACACATACACCTAACACCGACCCCGCCCCACCGTCCCCTGCCCCATCCTGTCTTACCTGGAATTACAGAAATAGTTTTCAATGCCCTCAACACCCTGAACGTGCGCAGAGCTGAGACATTGCCTAGGTTTACAAACTCTGTTATATACCTGCAGGATCAAACCACAGTTACAACAGCTCGTTATTTACATGAAAAGATGAGGTGAAAAGGTAAAGTCACAAACAGACCGGCCGTGGAATGTGAGCTAAACAAACAATGGTGATGAACTTGTACTATTTTCTCACATACAAACAGGTAAATCTGTAGAAAACACTATTTAGGGAAGTGTAGTTGATGATGGGATAGCGGACTTAGGTCTACTGGTGCAGACTCCAGCAGATTGAAAGAGAAAACATGAATCAAAAGGAAAGTCGGATGACAGAAGGAAGATAAATCTGATGAATGAGACTGAGGTGTAGATGTTGTCAGGAAGGCCAAAGAGTGTCGCATGAAAACCTTCAACTCCCCAAGAGAAAGACCAGAGAAGTCTCAGGTCGAAGGAGGAAACACAGAAGATGAGTTATCAGACGGAGAGAAAGACAAATAAGGAAAAGATGAACAATCCGTACAATAGAAACCTCTTTTTCTTTACCCGCCCTTTACCCCGCAATAAAATGGCAGTACTTGTGTGCACATAATTACATTGCATCATTTACTGACAGATTGAGTAACAGGGAAAATACTTACGCCATCGAAATGACCATGAAATCCAGCCAGTTCCATGGATCTCTGAGGAAAGTAAACCCGTCTATACAGAATCCTCGTGCGCAGATTTTTACAAGCGACTCAAATGTATAAATCCCCGTGAATGTATACCTGGAAGAAAAGAAGGTTGACAGAATCAGTTCACCGTGCCGCATTAGAGCTCACTCGCAGCTTCAGGTCTGCACCTTCGTTAGCTTTTGAATCACCAAGGAATGAATCAAGTTGAGTGGAGGAATGACAAAGTCAAGTAAACTTTTGCATGTATTGTTTTTATCTAAATGAATATGTTGAACCCACAGCATCTTTTTTAACAAGACCACAGGTTCTCCAGTGGCTCTACAGCCATAATAATGCATGATCATTTTCTAAGACATACAAAACAAGAGCCAAAATGACAAACTCAAAATGTGACATACTTTGGACTTCTTATTGGTAACCATCAACATTGTCTTCAAATATTTTTATTTATTTATTTTTTACATAAAAACTGACCTAATGATATTTGGCTTGTGTCTTACAAAAGAGCAAGCATATATGTAACATGTCTGGCAAACTGGATAAGGACATCCAGTTATAAGTTATTCAATAAATACATTTTGTTTAAGAATGATTGAAATGACCTTTACAACAAGCAGTTAGCATGCGTCGAATCTTTTGAGTGAAAACATTAAAAAGGAATACTTACTCTACTTGTTTGGACCACTCAGGAGGATCACTAAAGGTCATGAATATACAGTTGGTCAAAATAGTACACATAATGATCATGCTGAAAAGAGTGAGGAGCAGGTTAAGGAAAATATGGATCATATAGCACAACATACATATAAAACAACGGTAACTTACATTTGTATTCAATGTGATTTCTGTGGTCAGCTAGGTCTTACTAGCGCTCGGCATATTAAGGGTTAATGTCGTAAAAGCTTCTTACAGCACTTAACAGAAGGAGGTTATGTGTGCTTACTACCACAAAGGCCATTATTATACCAATGAAATATTTAAATGCTCTTTATTTAGAGGAAATAGCCTGGGGTTTTTTTAATGCTGCAAGACCTTTAGTGCAGAGACATCTGCACAGGTAGGAAACAATGAAAACCTCAGGGGCCGCTTTGAAAGCAGACAACGGTCAGTAATAGTTGTGGCTTGTGGCTAAAAATGGAAGGTGAAGCAAAGGGGAGTACAATAATCAATATTGTTACGAGTACAACTAAAAGGGTTTAGTTTATGGTAGATAGAGAATGTAAATATCCTTAATATATTTTTGTTTTACCTCCAGATTTGGAAATGTTATTCTCCATCACACTGACCTCCATCTGTGAAGGAGCTGAAGCGCAAGACTTTCCTTCTACTCTGAAAAAAAAATAAAATTGTTCTGACAATATAAGTATTCATAATCTCTTCTTTAAAATCTGTGTGCAATTTAAGTCATTCTTTGATACAAAAAAACCCTGGCAGGCTGGAATGATCTCGGTTCAAATAAAATACTTCACAGATAAATATTCTGGTTATGTAATAAAGTATCCTAATAGACATTTTTTTAGAAGATCTAACCTGGTTTGATGTTAAGGATGACTCATCAATAGTACTAACCTGCCATTAGAAAAATAAAATGTCTACTGCATGGTTTCCTGTACTGTAAAAAAAATATATATTTTATGTAATCTGTCATGCTATTTAAAGTCATAGTCAAGGTTCATTGACTGAAGAGTGCTATTGATTGCCATCATCAGACTTGATGGCAACCAATACCATACAAATTGGTATGTCTCTGTCTCCTGTAGTAAGAGTCACAGGAAACATCAATAGCAGTATGAGCAGAGCGACAGAACATATCATCATGAATAATGGACATGAACAGGAAACCCTTTTGTCTTAGCTGTTAAGACACCATTTGAAAGGATATGAATGTATCAAAATTTTAATAGCTATTCGCCTAACCAGATTAAAAGGACTTATGAAGTACAAGGCAGGGTTGGCACTAAAACGGAAGATTGTCTTCCCTCTATTTAGCACTATAAATGTCTGTGGAGAGAAGAGAAAGAGACACAGAAAATAGTGATCAGTTCAAAGTCAGATATGAATTCACATATTTCAGAAAATGCAAAATAGTAACAACATGAAATATCCAATACACAAACTGTGAATTTGATACACTTAACAAATATGTAGTCTTATATCATATACTGCCAGCATGTTCTGAGCATATCAATCAGTGTATCTTAGACATTTGTAGGTAAGGTGTACACTTTTTATCAATGAACTGAAGCACATGTGAGCAGAGTGAAAACAGCTGCTTATGTTGGTAGATTGTCCCAGTCACTCAGTGCCCCCCTGCACTTCATGGCTTTGGTGGTTTCAACTGAAGGAAATGAGCAAAGCCGAGAGGGGCGGGCGGAGCATCTTTCTGTGGATAACCTTATAATTGTTTTAAATAAAATATGCCGTTTTGCGTGAAACTTTAATGTGATTGTGCATTTGCAGAAGTGATATGGGCCCTTGTGCTTTTAACAAGGCATCCATCCTGTGCTACATTAAGCTCTGCAGAGCCACCGAAGGCTGGACACAGTGGAGTCAAAAAGAAGGAGGAGGAGGAGGAGGAGGAAGTGTGGGAAGGAGATGTAGAGGTCTCAGTGTAGGGTCACATGACTGTCACTGCATGCTATCAGTTTATTCCCAACAGAAATGAGGCGCACGTGTGAAATGTTGTGAATAACAAACATAAACATCGCAGGTGGAAACGTGGAACTGAAATGGAGTCTTTCTGCCCTGAGGATGAGACACAGTTCTGTCACATGACCACCCAATGTTAATTTAAGATCTATAGACAACTCAGAACAAGCCTGCACCGTTTAACACGATTATATAATCTAATTCTCGAGCTGCTGATATGGGTCAGAGCAGCAGCCTGATATCCTAATATACACGATAAACATTCCCAGTGAGCACAATGGTCAGCCATAATGGCATACATGGAAACATCCCAGTTGCCAATGGCGTGACATTTCTGTTAAATAAAATCATCACATACATGTGTGCGTATGCATCATGGATACACAAAGCCTCAAAATGAGCAACCAAGCTTGTTATCACCCCCCACACACACACACACACACACAGACACACACACACACACACACACACACACAGACACACACACACACACACACACACACACACAACACACACACACACACACACACACACACACACACACACACTACTGCTATATGATGGGACTCATTTTTTGTAACGCATGACTAAACTGCTGCAAAGCTACTGAAAATTTCATAATCTAGAGCTGAGCAACGAGGAGAGCGGTGGAAAGGACAGGCAGAAAACAGGGGAGATGATGAGCGAGTAGAGCAGGCAGGCAGGCAGCAACTGTGGCAGCAGCAGGCTGAGGAGAAGCAGGGCGGAGGGAGCCAGAGCGAGGGAGCTGAGCAGAAGATGAGAAGGCGAGGGGAGGGGGGGGGATGGGCCGGAGACAGAGAGGGAGAGAGAGAGCTGCTTCCACACACAAGCTTCAGCCATCAGGCAGGGATGCAGCAATCTGTAACCATGGGGCCACAGCATTTATTAAAAGAGCCCCCTTTTTTCATCCCATGTGGTAAATGGTAAATGGACTACGATTTATCGGTTGGCTCTGCTGTCATGCTAGTTGCTAAACTGCTCATATTTCCGTCCTTCTGCCTTTCCCCTGATACTGCCATATTGCGTTTAAAAAAATGTGATTGTGCTTTTGGGGTTTCATTTTTAAAGCACAATCGGTTCGTGGAAGAAAAATGTATATCATGAATATGCAACATGACATGGAGCACATTTCTTAAAACGTGATCTACATATCGTGGTTTTTAAGATGAATTGTACTTTACATCAGGGCGCATTACAAGCATAAGTACCTTCATGATGGTATCAATGTCGTATTTAATATTTTTCATGAATACAAAAGAGGACAGGCAGGAAAACATTAGCTATTTTCTTATACAGGTACACAGGTTGGTTGGGGTTAATGTTAAATTAACTGATTTTGCTTCAAATGAAAACACGAGAGCTCTGTCTTGTTTCTCGTAAAAACTGAATATTTTATTCACCTTCAGGTCTTCCCCAGCTAAAACCATTTCAGTAAGCCTGCCTGCATCGTGAAAGAGAACTAGTGCACTCATGCATCCTTGCACATGTCATCCATTTCGTCCCTGTCCTCACTTCCTCCCTCTCTCTTTTTTAACTCTCTGTCACTCCCTCTCTCTTTTCCCTCTCCTAAAAAATGATCTGTTTCACATGCGTTGTACTGAGCTTGACGATGGCCCGGCCCAGCTAAGAATGGCACTGCCCAGCTCCAGCCACCAGCTGGATGCTGCGTCATGACCAACCCAGCCTGCCTGCCTCTTCATCAGATATGACACTATTTGATAGAGCAGCAGCTAAAGATTTGTGATGTGGAAGATTAACAGCCTTTACGGTTATTCTCCAACATCAAGCCCTGAGTCCCATGAGAGAAAAACCTATCCAGAGCTATCCTGCCACCTCTGAGTTACAAAGACAACAGAGCAACGTTCTTCCGTCAAGGTCAACACCTGATCTGACGTCACAGCTGCTCGAGCTGCCAGATCGGAAGCAGCATCGGCTCCCTTTGGCATTGGAACGAGACAAGATTGAGGGCCATAATTAGATTTTCCTGAAGCTGAGAGCAGACAGGACTGCTGCTAGAGTTAGGTGGGGATGAACAGCGAAACACAAGGCAAAAAGACAAGACACAAAGACACTCCCACAACTTGAATGCATCTGTGGCAGTAATGCTTGACAAATGAGACTAAAAAAGAAAAGGGAGTGTTATTGAGTCCGTTTATCAACAGCACCATATATTGCTGGAAATGTGTTCCACGTGTCATCTGAATCGTGTCTCCTACTTGTGCACTGGACTGGTGGTTACATAACAGACGGCGTGTACCGTGTAAAGACAGGGAGGTATGAGACAGCCAGAGAGAGAGAGAGAGAGAGAGAGAGAGAGAGAGAGAGAGAGATATCTATGGACACACAATATCTGAACAAATCTGTTCAGCTAATGATGAGGACTAAACAGTTTATTACAAGCCTGTTTTTTTTGTTTCCCATGTAGAACTTTCTATATGATGTGGACCGTGAGTTATACAAGACTGTTGTCAAATGGTGAGCAGTATTTGGAATAAATGTGATCAGAGGAGACCATTTTAGTTAAGACTTAAAATGCTGTTACATAATTATTGAAAAAGGGCAAAAACAGACTTGTTAAAAGATTCAACCCTGAACTATCTGTCCTGTTAATCATCACACCAGCATTAAAGTGACCCTTGTGCACTTTGCATCTTGATTAATGCTTAAGTAAAGACGGCCAATATTGCATTCATGGCTTCGATTTTTTAAAATGGCTACAACGAGACCTTAATTCAAAGTCTTTCAAAAACTACACAGAGACAGCTTTTATATCACTTTAAACAGAGCCAGACAGTCAGGTGATTTTCAGAGACTCTCAAGGTTATCCGACTGTCCTCAAACTGAGCATCAATCATGACAGAAAGCCTAGAGAGACCAGTGTCTCCAACAAGACAATCAGAGTCCTGATTGTCTTGTAGAAAAGCCGCTGCTTTTCTCTCCTGTCAGAGATTATTTCTTAAATAATTAGGAAAGCCCTTCATGTGGAACTTCGTTTTCAATAGCTACTTACTCTGACCTTTTCCCCTAAGCCCTGCGAGCACATCAGAGATAAGACAATGTCCCACTTAAAGAATCAACTCGTACACACCCAAAAGGTCCTCGAAGAGGGAAACATAATTGCGGTCTCTAACGCAATCGTTTAAGCAACTGTAAACACAGCACATCGGGAAGCTAACCATCTCATAGCACATAACGTCTCTGCTTTGTCTGCGTAAAATTCCAGCCATCATGTATGACTCACCTTGACATCACGAGGCTACCCATAACCTAAATAGCAAGGCTACCCACCGCCTAAATAGCAAAAGTGGCGAGTATGCTGGGATTATCAGAACTACTTGCAATCATTGGTTTAAAAGCTAAATGGATTGAAATACTCAAATGATTTGAATGCAATGTTTCTGTCGATGATGCATTGTTATTGGTTTTTTTTTTGCCTAATAAAGAGGCAATACTGTGCACAATAAACAATAAACAGTGGTGATTTGGGACTTTAGACACTTGAGGTTAGGGATAACAACCATTTTTTTTCAAGAGTGGAATACCATTTGAGATTTTGTGATACCTTAGCCAATAAAATGAGAGTGTCTGATGCCTTTGTCAAGAAATATTGACATTTTTTGTGTTCTCCAAAATGTTTTGGAGAACAAATGAAACCAAATTTCTTAAAGCTAAATTCTGTCTTAAAAACAGCTGCTATCCAGAAACTGGTCATCCAGAATTAAATCAGGGACTATCTGATGGAGGAACATGTGTGCAGGCTTGGAACTACATCAGATAGTTGAGCCAACTTGTATTATCTTTAGTCACGTTGGATACATTTTGGATGGTGTCAGAAGGTATTGGTATTAAATACAGTACCAAGCCCTAGTCACAAACCATGTGGTTTAAAATACATCAGTATATGTCAGCAGATATCATGCATGCGTTTGTGTGTCTTTGTAATCTCACTTTCTGAGAGTTCACGTAGTATGGGTCCAGGTCCTCCAGTGGTACCGCCACCAGTCCTTTAGGGATGTCCCCATAGATGTAGGGCAGACTCCTCCCAGCCTCCAGGTCGCTGTTGGGCTTGGGTTTGTTCTCGTCATCGTCGTCTCGGTAGCTGTTGTCCGGCTTGGGCGGCTTCTTGTTTTTCTCCTCATTGATGCGCTGCTCGAGGGTCGCCAAAGATTCCGGGGTAAACTTCTTGAAGCTATCAGGTCCTGGCGGTGCAAGAAGGGGTGCAGCCATGTTTTCATCCTGCAGCTACTTGGTCTTCAGGTTTGTACCATCTACAGTAGCAGCTCTGCCGGGAGAGGCACACAGAGAGGGAGAGTCAACCAAACTTCAAAAATACCTCTTGACAAGTCCATTTAGAAAGTGAGCACACACTTATTTTTTATTTAGCTATACAATATAATGTGTCAGCAATAACCATGAATTCTCTCTGTCTCCATAGGAACTTTTGATGAAAAGCTAAATGGAACATCACCATTGCCCAGATGCATGCATGATTATCAAGCAATCATTTACAAAAATGTAAGTTTTTGTTAAGCAGTCATGGTAGAAAATAATTCTAATTAATATTATTGCAATCAGTCACTGTAAATACAAACCACTTAGTCCCATTGGTAATACATAACAGCCCATAAGCAGAAAAATAAAAGAACTCTATACCTGGACTGTAGGGGTTAAAGTGCTACCCCATAATAGTTTTGTCTACAAGAGATGTTGAGAGTAGCCGATGAGAATCAGGAATGTCGTCTTACAGCTAATGGCTATGCAGGTATCCCTCTATCAATAACTACAGATAAATAGATACTGTTTCTCTTGTGCTTCTGTTTACACAGGTATATTTTAAAACCAGTCAAGCAAACCAAAATAATGGATTTGTTCATTTAATTCCAAAATCAGATGATGCCCAAAACCTAAAAGGTAATGTTTTAACACAATACACAAGGATATAAATGTACCTTCTCTCTCCCTCCCTTTGTCTCTGGTAAGTAGATACCATTAAACATGACCATACTCCAGTTTAAGGATCAATCTAACAATCCAGACAACAGAAACACAGTTGCATATTCTGTGAATGAAATTGAACCCCTGCCCAGTGGCTTGTTAACACAAATACACCAGTCATGTTTAAGATTATGGCAAAGTGATGGACACTGAACCTTAAGGTTTCTAAGGTGAGCAGGTTCTGTATTCAGAAATAAAACCAAAAAGGCATCAATAAAAGAGTTTTGGTTAGAAAACCGTGTGGAGAATTTAGATTTAGTAGCTGTAGTAGCTGATTTAGTAGGCTGATCTATATAAATCTGATCCTTCAACAATCATGGATCTCACTATTACATATATTGTACGGTTAAACGCTCAACCATATGGAACCCGCCCTGATTTTTTTGAAAGGAAGTTAACTCACTACAAATATGGTGGCTTTTAAGTACATTTTTAAGCTGGTAAAATAAATGATAAACCTCATCCATGCATGTGCTAAAGCTACTGAGAGGGCTGCTTATAACAATAACTGTATGAATGGAAGAATAGGTTACATTACACAATAACTGGACCACTGTCACCTCATTGTGATGTTATACAGTGCAGACACAGCTTAGAGGATTGTAAACAGTGAAGTCACTCTTTCATGCAAACTATTTGAAAAAAACACCCCAGGCATTGTCTTCGGAAATGCATATTTTCACATGAATGCGATAGCAAGACATTTAACTTGGTATAAGCGTGTGCTGATATCAGCCATCTGATATATACATCATGTACATCAAACTGGGAACTCAAGACAACAGCAAAGTTGGTCATTTGCAGAGATAGATATTATCAGAAACCTGACATGTAATTGACAGTAATGCAGCTGTAATTTTACATTATTAAGAAATCATTACGTAAGAAGTTCTATTAACTTGCTTCACAGTCTTATAAAGAAAGGACTTAAGACCGTAACTCGCATACTTGAAAGAAATGTCTTGTCAGCTGTGTCAGGTAACATGCCAGGCAACATAATCATGAAGGTATGTATGCCAGCCAATATTTCCCCTTAAAGTTGAACACATGTTCTAGGTCATGCAATAACAGAGCCATGACAGTAGACCCGTTTAAGGATTTACTCCTTGTGCTGTGTTTTGAACAGCTGTGGCTTACAGAAGGCCCAGTGGCTGCATGATTCAGAGGAGCCTTTTCGTGACACAGTAAGATGTAAAACGTGTTTGTTGGTTTCATGACAACAGTTCAGGACACTTCAGGGTCAACATATTAATGTTAGGGCGTCACAGGAAACACCTGAACTGAGACACCAAGCATCTCAAATAAGACTGGAAATATTTGCATTTTTGATCTAGTAACAACACCTTATTCAATTCTGTTTCCAGCTTGAGGCGGGTGGGAGGGGTGGATTTTGCCAGAAAAAGGGTGAACTACATCAACCATATCTGAATCACAGGGCCTGTCACTTCCTTCTTACTTTCTTGCATAACGCACTCTTGAACACGCTTAACGTGCAGATATCACACAGTAAAGACGAAACACATGCACATGAAAACATGCAGCCTGTGAGCCAAGACGTCTGTTTTAAAATGGACCCCAGAACCTCACAGTCACTGAGCCTTCTGCTGCTCTGCTGGCGCTGTCCGCTTCAGCACCACTCACACACACACACACACACACACACACACACACGCAAACATATATGCACGATAGAAAACATGCAGGGTTGATAGAAAAATAATTATAACCAATCCGTCTGTGCTGTAAACCAGGCCTTCTCTCCCGACGCCTGTAGGCCGGCAGGTTATCATCCAATGTGAACAAGTCACGGTGACAGTAGGCTACCGGTCTGCTCGTGTCTCAGTCTCACAGACTGACAGGCACATTTTCATCTCCTCGGTCATTTTCTCGTTTTTCAAAGACGCGGTGAGAAATGGAGACTTGTTTACTGGATCTATTAATTGAGAAGGGGGGGGGGGGGGGGTGGTCTGCAGACGCCATTATCTGCGTCTACCCCCCTTTAGCCTATATATTTCATTGAATGGAAAAGTCCTGCACGACCACAATGACAGAGAAACAGGAGGTTATACTGCGCAAAGAAGTGGCCCCTTACCACCAAATTGGCTAAAGCACCATTGCTGCAGTGGGTGGTTATATGTAGAAAATGTCAAGCTGTGGAAAAATGCTACCCAAGAAAATGTCCAAAAAAAAAAAATATGTCGATGTATAGGAAGAAAAAAAAACAGCAATATGTAAAACCTTGTTTTTCAGCAAACACAAGTCAAATACGACTGGTTTTTTTGGGGGCGCTTTTGAGCGTTGCCTAGAAGGATCTGCACCACACCCGTGAAGCCATGTCGACTGCCAAATCAATAAGGACTCTATCTGTGCACGAGATAAATAAAGTGTGAAGCTAGTCAGCTGCTTGAAGTAAACACACAATCTGCATAAAGGATAAAGCGGGAATAATAAGACTTGGATCAGTCAGTGATGCTGTCACACCACACAAAAAAATCACCTGGATGAATGAAACAACACGGAGCTATTGATGGTGGGAAGGAAGATCAGGCTACTCACATAGCATCAGTCCCATTTCCGAATCCTTATTGTTGTTTTCAGTAAATCATCCTGCAGTCCGAAGGCTATGAATAACACAAAAGTAGCGAGCAAAATTTAGGGAAAATCTTCCTTTTTTTGCCCTTTTGGGCTGGAGCAGTCAAACGGTGCCCTCCCTGAAGCCTACCCCAAACGAGGCATTTTCTCTGGTAAAGGTCTAAACAATTCTTCATGAAAGAGTTAATCCGCTAAATATCTTGCAATCGACATCAATTGATTGGTCATCACATGTGTTCCCCTGCTCTGGTCCCTGCCGAAAGATGCCTAACAAACACCGACACCCTCCGTACATCCCGCTTTAAAAAAAAATAAAAAAAAACAGAAAGGTGCGGGGCAGTGTGCAGCTCTGCGACATTTACGCAAGGAAACCGACGGATAGAAAAACTGCCTTCGTCTAAAAATACATGCGCCAATCTCTCAAACGGTTATAAATGAGGGATACTCACTTTGTTAGCGTTACAATGAATCCGGAAAGCCGTAGCAGGTCTGCAGATGTGGAAAAGATTTGGGAGAAACTGCGGTTGTCGCCATATTGTTGCTGCGATCTTCTCCCTCAGTGCGAGCGGTTTCCCTGCATAATTGATGACTCTCAGCAGAATGTAAGGGAGTGTCGGCAAGTGCGCTTGGCAAAATCCTAAAGGTCATTTAGGCCTGCAGCCTTCCCACCCCCCCCACCCCCTGTGTGGTTCACAAAATACATTTGAGCCTGGATAAGATTGTGCAAAGAAAAGATGCGCAAGATTTTTTTGTTTTGTTTTGTTTTTCTTTTTTTTTTTACAAAATGCTTCGGCTCACTGTGAGTTCAGCGGGTTGAGTTTGTAGTGCAGGCATTTATTGGTTGTCAGACTGTGAGAATTTAGTCAGAGACATAGATACAAAGAGAGAAAGAAAACATTTTTAAGAAAATGTCTCATGTCTTTTAATCAGGCAAAAAAAAAAATATGCAGGCCTGCTACATTTTCTGCACATAAAACAAACTTAATGTCATTTGTCCGACCATGTTAACTGTAGGCTTCTGGATATCTCACTAAACTAACGTGTGTCACAAACATGAAGCCTATATGGTTCATTTCTTGTCTCTTCATTGGACTCCCATCCCATCTCTATTCTTTAGCATTAATGGCTTCATCTGGTCACTTGCCCCTGTTTTTTGTTATTATATAATGTGGTGTGTGTGTGTGTGACTGTAGCCTAGTGAATGAAAATTATCTTAAATGTTCTCTAACAAACACTTACTTTCCATAGCCTTACTTCAGCTTTCAGTGTTTTGTTTTTAGTCACAAAACATTATGAAAGGCTCATCATGAATTGGTCAAAATAAACTTTGTTGTTTGAGCTCTCTTTTTGTCTTTTTGGCCCTTTCCAGACACTGAAAGCCTTGACAGATTAGCAAACAGTTAGCTTCAGTAGGAATATGTGCAATAGCAGCAGATATTTGGATAACCCACTTCTTAACGCATTTTTCATGCAGTTTTTGAGAATGAATTTCCATAAAAGATTGGTCAAGATGTCATGTCAAGTGTATATCAAGTGTATAACTTTGTTCACAGAAGCCAATTCAAATGACATATCCGACCTACTGCATTAGAAATTAAACACATCCTTGCCAAACTGAATTCACACTGAGGTTTTGCTTTTAAGCCCTACAGTCCTACTTGGCCATATG